ACTAGTATTATACATACATAGTTAAAACTTCTAATGCTGATATGATCAATATACAGAATCATGTAGATATTAAGATTGCGGAAAATGTGGCGTGTGTCACCTACATATTGGCTCTTCGTGAAGTCGGGGTACTCCTGACTTCCGAAAACCTTTTGAGATCGAGGGTCGGCAGTGCAACTAGCATGGCCTTGGGATTGGGTTGTCGCATGAATTCCGTTTTGAAGCTTCTAGGCCCCAGGTTGTGCTCTGGTTGAGTTCAGGTCCACGATAGAGTGGCAGAGACTATCAGTTCCGGCTGATTTTAATATTATTTGAATCTTCTTATGTTTTATGTAATTGGGAGCTTTAAAAAACTAAATTTATTTGAAAAGAAAATTAGCTCTTCTAATAAAGGGAAGTTAATAAGTGAATGATGTTAAGAAATTTATGGTAATTATCCTTCTTTATGAGACATGACATGTTAGAAGCATAACAATGCTAATGTATGTGGAGTCATTTTCTTTCTTTTACAACATTTTTTTGCATTTATACACAAATTTAAACTACTCCAATAATTACATATAAAGATCCTGTGATGAGAGTAGTATTTCGATCAACTATCTCGTTAGGAGACAAGAAATGTGGTTTATTAGAAATAGAAATAGTCTCCGTCTGTTCTTCCGTCCGTCCGCTCTCAGGGGAGAGTAATAATGTGGTCAGAGGGACAATAAGACCTTCCGTCCGTCCGTCCTTCCGTCCGACATTTTTGTCCGGAGCATATCTCAAAAAGTATTTGAGGTATCAACTTGAAACTGCATAAGTGGATAGATCATATTGGGAAGGAGTGCAGTGCACAAGAATGATTACTCTACCCTGCATAATTTTTCAGTTATTGTCCATTGTTATTTTTCAAACTTATATTTCTCCAAAGCTTTGAAATATCTACATGAAACTTCATAGATGGTTATATCTCAATCAGGAGGTATGCAGTGCACCACCATGATAACTCTACCCTTCATAGTTTTTGAGTTATTGCCCTTTGTTATTTTTCTTACTTACTTTTTTTGCCTGAGTGGAGCATAACTCAAAAGCTCTTTGAAATGTCAACATGAAACTTCATAGATTGATTTATCTTATTGAGGAGGAATGATGTGCGCAAGAATGATAACTCTTTTTTTTATAATTTTTTGAGTTTTTGCCCTTTGTTATTTTTCATACGTTTTCTCCGGAGCTTATCTCAAAAAGTGTTGGAGGTATCTTGCTGGGACACTTTTGGGGACAGAATGAAAAAAAAGAAAAAATATATATAAGTAAATTGTACGATACTGAAAGTAAAATTATCGTTAAAAACCCATTTGTTTATCAACATGATAACTTTAGAAATATTTAAAAAAGTAGGCCTTTTTATGAATAAAATTATAAAACAAGAGTTTAAAATGGGTGGGACATGGTAACAAATTTATACATATTTCAGAAACAATCATTTTGTTTGAGTGATTTTTACCTGGATGCATTTTCTTAAAATTATCAATATGGAAAAATGTTTCATTACGATAATATTATAGATTATTTCTTAAGAGAGAGTCATTCTAATGTCACAGCCTTACGCCGCAAAAGAAAAAGAAAAGTATATAACTCGTAAAACGTAAATTGTGTTTATATTTTGCATATTTTGATAGTCATTCATACATGCTTTAAAACATAAGTACGTTTGTTGGATTACCGCTTAAACCGTTGCTAGGGGCATAAATGTTGTTGCACTTTTTGATTATCCATCATGTATAGACTCAATCAAACCGAGTCTGCTATTTTCATGTATTTTTGTTTTCTTTTGTGATTAATGTTTCCGAGATATTTCCCATCTTCCGGATCTCTACCTTAACAATCTGCATATTGTCGCAGAATAAAAACACATTTTGTGCACATTTTGTATTCCTATACAGCTTCTTTGACAGTATTGTACTCGTGCAATAGAATTCTGTTCTGTACTTAAATTATCTAAAATATCTTTATAATGGTCAGAATTAAATAGACAATCCACTTTTGTTCGAATTTTAGTCGGAATTAAGTTAAAAGGCAGCATTGAAATGTTTAAAGTATTTAATTGTTCGATCATTTTTTACATTAAAGAATATTCTGAATAGAGAGTTAGGAAATGATCTGAAATTTTGCACAAAAAATGCCTCTTTCCTTTACAATTAAAGATATATTTTCCTTATTTATATGTGTCTCTATGTATACTTAAAGTCTTGTATAATGTCTGAACGTATGATACATATCTTTTTTAAATCACACTTATACATCTGTAAAGGTCTTCGTACTGGTTTTAAAGGAGGGTTGAACTGGTGTTTAGTTTAAGTTTAAGCAAAATACTTCATTAACCTTTTAAATCTTTACTAATTGTTTTAAAAGCCTCAGTGTCGTCTTCCGATGCCTGTCCAATGCTAATCAAAGAAATATATACGTTAAAGTAAATATACTCCACATGCAATCGTCATTTCTACTGCACATATGTATCATTATGATACATTTTCATACGATATTTAGTTAAGTAGCAGGCTAAGTAATGGTCATTTGAATAAAACTGGAAATTAAGCTTAACCGTTATAATTGCAATCATTTTTTAGAAACGTAACAAAATCGTAATATACATTTAATGATATATGAGGGTGCGTTTTTTCTAATACTGTGACAGGTGATCAAAGCTGACTTCCGGGGGATCACCATATTACCGGATTTCTACACTTCACAACAGAAGGTGTTAAGTGCAGAAAGGCAGCTAAAATTTCCCTTACATCATTTCAATGTAGTGTTTATTTTCTGGTCCTTCGGGATAATTGATGCCAGCACTTTTAAGTGCTGATGATTGAGTACCACTCAAACCGGTGTAAAAGGGAATGAGGAATGATGCATTTTTTCATTATCCCTCAAGTACAGATTCAATCATATCAAGTCTGGACTTTTGATGTAATTTGTTGTGATTAATTTTGCCAATTTATTATTTTTTCCCATTTAATTCGTCACTATTTTTTAATAAAACCTTCGTTCTGTTCAATGTGTAAGAAAGAGCTGTACTTTCGGCATGACAACGCTTCTGCACCCAAAGGAGCTACTGTATTTGAGAAAAACAAGTGACTCTCCATAAACATCCACCGTATTCTCCTGACTTGGCATCTCATGACTTGGCACCATGTGACTTAACCCCTATCCTAAACAGAAAATCATTTTGTAGGTCACCGCTACAAGAGCAAATATGAACTGGGTCGGCAATTTTACAGGAAATGACAGCTATACCTAAGGATGAACATGTGGAAGCATTTAAAAAATGGATTTGACGTTTTTAGCACGAGATTATTTGGAAGGGTTGAAATAGAAAACTGTAAAACATTTGTTAAAGTTATTAACTATATTGCATTACATATCGACAAACCTTCGTAATACATGTAATATGATATGAACTTACATAAAAATATTGTGAAACAGTAGCTTTATTGTGAAATGGCAACAAGGGTATAAACTTAAGTTTTAAATTACACAATTGCAAACATCAAAATTGTATAAATGTAATAATTTATAGCAAGTTCGTATGTAAAACACATTTCCTTGATAACGTTTGAAGTAAGCAGAACCTTACAGATATATTAATTTTGATAATTAAAAAACATATATGGTAACCGTAATACGACTGCTTTACAGTCAAGATTTTATTAAATAAATAGAAAGCAAAATATATTCTAACGTAAGTTTGGTTTTTGAAATGTTCCATGATATAGATACTGCCGTACTCGGCTTATATGTGCTTTTCCTATTTACTCCCGAGGAACAAACACATCTTTACAGTCACAACTAAATGTATCGACGAACAGCACAGCTCGTTGATCACTGTAATAGAAACGGTAGTGCACCGAGAAGTTGTAATGGTAAAAGTTTGGGTGTATTTACAATAAGAAAAAAAACCTTTTGTTATTTAAAATACACCGGATTTAACAACAATGATAAACTTATAACGTCTGAAATGCAAATAAAAAAAGTCTGGATAAATAAATTTTTAAATATGACTGGATCTTTTAAGGCGAACACAGTAAATCGGTGTCAGCGATATAAGTTATAATTTTAATACGAGTTTTCATTCAGACATTTATTTTATGAATACTTATTTTCTAAAGAGGCGCACATAAAAGAAAGTATTTGATCGTTATATACCTCCTTATAAATGAAATCTGATGAGGTGTTATTTAATACTAAGTCTTTTAAACCGGTTTGGGTAAACTATTTCAAGGTTCGATGATAAGATAATGATTCATTTGGAATTTCCATTTTTACAAATTGCCTAAATCCTATTTTTGTATCATTTTTTAATCGGCTAAATATGTAATAATATTCCAATGCGGCAAAATTTGGCTCCAATCCGAGACGATCGTAACTGACACATATAAACTACCAACTATGTCACCTTATACAATTTCCCTATTTAAGTTCACCACCCACCCCATTATAGCGCTTATATATTTTTTTTAAATGGGTTTGTAAAGACACGAGCAAAATATTTTGACCGTAAAATTTTGATTGAAATTCATGGCATTCGAAAAACCATTTCTTACATAAATGATATTCGTACAAAATTCGAGGGTCCTTTTATTATTTTGGATATGATGGTTATTAAATGATGACTATATTTGTACGTTAAACATGCACCTTCAAGAAAATTGAGAGAGAGAAAAAAGAAAAGATGCGGTGATGGTATATCTTGTATCAACTATAATAAAGATAAAATCATGTTTTGTGCAATTTGATATAATAAACCTAGGTATGTATTGCACAGGGAAGCTGGGGATATCATTTTCAAAACATTTACCATGCAATTGTTTACAAACCGAATTTTACATGGTCTGGGCATACAATGCTGATAAATGCAAACATATATCTTCACACGTTGTTTGATTTACATATCTATTACATTTTTGTAATTCAACATTCCGTGCTATGACTTGTATCTTATTTATAGACTTATATAAAAACATTTGCATTATCTAAAATCCTATTTAGTGCGATATTTGTACTGCGCAGTTAGGTTATTGTAGTAATATTTTCCGGTAAAAATCATGACGGAGTATGTTTACATATATATTTTTCTTGGATTAATAGTTAGCATATCAAGTCAAACGAAAGTAAGTTTTATTTTGAATTTGTATTATTTGTGTCTTCAAATGTGTTCCTCCGAAGAGAAGCATTCTCAAATGTAATAAAAGAAAAAGATAAGGTGACCATTCGATAAGGCCATTCTATGAAAATTTTTCGTAATATTTCTAATTGAATAATATGAGAAAAAGGCGACTTTAGGATCATTAAAAAACAACAAATAATTTTAAATAGCTGTTACAAATAATTGTAAAAAGCTTTTTCAGTTTTGAGTCAAAGCTTTCACATTTTCAGTCATGAACTAAAACGGTATGATTTTTCCATTTTTCATTTTTATTTTGTTTTGTTCATATGTTCGACTTTTGTTCGTTTGTTTGTTGTTTTTGTTGTTGTTGTTTTTGCTCGCTAGTTTAACTCGTCAAATACAAACAATTTCAGCTGCCGCAAAAATTAAGTTTATATAAACTTTCTGACCGACACAAAAAAAGGTAATGCGTTTATCATATTTTTATTTTATAACGTTATAAAATGGTATATAAACAGATTATAATGTATATATATACGGAATATTATGTTGTAGTAGCTTTCTGGGGCTTTGTATTTTGCTACGAGCAGCAGATATATCAATTTTCCAACGTTGCGAGTAGAAAAATACATAGTCTCAGAAAGCTACTACAACACAATTTTCCTTTTATTATATACCTTTTCTTTTTTTTCAGAAAATGAAATGTAGTTGTCAAGAAATAAATTCATGACTGACGGATAAATACGTGATTCTTGAAAACCAGCCACGCCTTTAATAATTTTGGTTCCCGTTTCCAAATGCAACGTTATACAAAGCTAAGATCGGAACCAACGTCAAAAAAAGTCGTCACTTCCATATATTGTACCGTATTTGTCACTAACATAATACGGAAATTTCTATCCGATGAAACGTATTTGCGCTTCAATATTGGCGTGTATTTTAGGGAGAAAATTTATAGGTATATAATAAAAACAGATATATAAAATAATATGTATATCGGTATCCCATATCAAAACTAACAAAAGCGATATAATCGTGTAACTTAATATTGGAACGTTTTATAAATATTTTGATATGTTTAACAACGGTCTACTTCCTTGTTTTGTAAGAGTATAATCTGTGCACGTCTTCCAACAATGTCGTCTAAATTTACCAAACCTGTTCTTTGATAGTATATTGATTAGTCAAAAAAGTTATTTGACATGTTTTATGGCCAAATACAACAACAACAACAACATTTATTCAGCATAAAGCAATACTAACATCACTTCTAGCCTACATATTAACATCTGTAGTAGTTACACATGAAATATAAACACTACCATAAGACAAGAGAAAAGTCACAAATAAACAAGAACAGTATTTAAGGGAGAAACTGTTTTGTTAAGTCAGAATTGGAATAAATGATTAAGTACAAAATGTAAAAAAGGAAAAATAAAATGTATGAAATAATTTTTTTTTCAAGAAAAACTAGATGAAAGCTGATTATTAGTTATTCAAGTTCTTTTCGAAGTTTATTTGCAAAGAGAGATTTGCTATTTCTTTTTTATTTTTTGTCATCATCAAATGATCAAATTTATTTAAAGATGGCCATGTATAATAATTACGTTGCAGATATTTTTTTCTAATATTTGAGTATAATGGACAAGTTAATAGGAAGTGATATTCGTTTTCAATCATATTTAGATTACAAAATTGACATATTCTTTCATTTCTTATTACATTATTATACCTTCCTCGTTCAATTTCTAGGTTATGTGATGACAGACGAAACCTAGTTAGTGCTATTTTGAATTTTTTGTCTATCGAATAATTATCAAGATATGATTCAAGTTCAAATGAATGTTTAAATCTACTATAAGTTAGAAGTTTCTGTGAGTTATTAATTTCACTGTACCAAAACTAGGTGTATTGATCAAAAATTCTTTGTTTAATAGCATTTAATATATGTTCCTGGTTTCCTTGATTTCGCCATATATCTGACATCCCTTAATTATCTAACATTGTTTTTATTTGAAATACAAATACAAACGATTATAAAAATAACCTCAAAATATGCCCGGATTAAACTAATGATTTTATATTACCAAAGTATTTGTTTTCCCTAATTCATTAATCAAATGCTTCATGTACTGAATTAAGGTAAAACAAAGTATTTTTTAAATGAAAATGTGTACATTTTGTAAATGTTATAGTACAGAATTGCTTTAAATTTATTACTTTTACATAATGAAAATTATAGCTAATTTCATCTTATATCATATAACAAACACGTGTTCTTGCTACATGATAAGAAAAATTAAAGTGGTACTTGTGTGATAAAAGCAAACATGAGTTTTGCTAGTTTGAAAGTAAAATTCTGTCTAAATATTAAGTATTCGTTTCAATAAAAATCGATACATTTTTTCTGACTAATAATGCTAAGTTAAAGGCACATTAGGCTACAAAAATCGACTAATTATTCCTTCTTTATAATTGTCATATATACGCTGCACGTGGACATTTTTGCAACTATAAAAGCAACAAAGTGTCAAAAAAGTTCTCTGTCTCCCATAAAAACTGTTCTAATAAAAAGAACATAAAAACAGAATACAGTTCAGGTAATAAGAGATTTTTTATGACACCAAATTTGAAAATATTTAGTAAAAAAAATGAAAGATTTTCTGAGACATAAGAGGCCCCTTTATGATGAATTATAAATTTCTGAGACTCAACTTTTATTTGTATTCAGTGCTATATTACGACAAATAATGTTATTGGTAATTAATTTAGCACGTGCAATTTTTGCGTCTTAGAATGTGAGGTTATTTTCTTTGTAAGTTTCCCTCATGTTACATATTGTGCGAATATTTATTAATTAAGAATAAATGTTTATATTCGTGTTTTATTTTGTATGAATATTGTTTATCTTGACCATATTAAGTATTTGTAAATGATTAAAGGTATATAAAATGTCAATTGACCAATAAATGAAATAGTAATGCCCTATATTGGTAAATAACTGGCCCCGAAACTGTTTTAATTCACGGTCTTATGAGCTCTAAATATTACATTATTTAACCACATTCACTCTTGACTGAAAAAAAATCTTTTTTTAAAATAGTAAAAAACACTTTTACGGAATTTCAAAAACGGTAAAATTGAAAATATATCAAGCTCTAAATGGTTGAGTCTGTTAATAGATCAGCTATATGTATGTAGAGAAGATACTTGGTATTTTATTACGTAACGGGGTATAAAATAGATGAGTAATAGCCCACCTTTAAATATCAAACATGTCATATCTGAAAATTGATACTGTTTTCACAGTTTATGCCCCATTTCCCTCTTATACCTTATGGTTTATTTGTATCTACGACCTTGTCATATGTGTGTAAATAAATGCTTTAATCATATTTTTGAATGAAACTTAAGTTTTGATAGGCAGCATGACTCTGTATTTAATCTACAATTTTATATTCTTTACAATAATTCCTTTCAATTATCTATGTATTACATAACTATCTATATTAACTGCATAATTGTACAGCACGAAAAGTGTGAATGGCTTTTAATCAATTTTCGATTTAAATGAAAGCCTTGTGGAGCAAAATTAGGGGAATAAGGTGTGTCTTCTATAGATTCAATAAAAGGTCGCCTGGTGAGCGTTTTATAACAAAGTTATCAAGTATAGTCCTTCTCATTAAATAATCACACGTAAGATATGGAAGTGTTTTTCAGGTGACTCCTCATGTTCAGCATTTACTATAAGTTCCTCATATAATGTCAATGGACACTCTTGACAATTTTTGGGGTTACAGTAATTAAATTGCACCAGTCTTCGGGAACATTGTCTTAAAAAGTCAGAGAAATGAAGGAAGGAAACATACGACATAGATTAACTTCTTCACTACAGTGCTAACAACTTATTGATAAGTATCACTATTACATAATCTGAATTTTAAGGGATACTTTCTAAAGTGTACTTATCTGATACTTGCATTTCGCTCTGTCGTGCATGACATTAGTGTACAAACGGTTAAGCTCTTCCTCGCTTAGATAGATCCTGCCCAAGTCACATACAAGTTGTATATCAAGTTATTAATTTACATCTGAGGACCATTTAAAATTATGGAAAAACAATCCTTGTTTTGGTATATTTCTAATTATTATGTGTTATCTCTAAATCGTATTGCTTTTAAGCCGTTTATTACAAAAGTTTTGAACCGAAAGATGAAGCTATGTATTCTTTTTCTATTAGGACAATATCATATTACACACGAAACATTACCAAATGTTAATTTAAAGGATGTAAGGCTATATCTTATATGTTTATATAGAAATAATTTGCTTCCATTGTATGTGTATTATAATTGTACAACTGTCACTAAAAAAAGAACGCTCAAAATGACAATGCTTTTAAAACAAGAAACATATGCAATTAAATAAAATGCTGCGCTGCCTAACAGCCTTAAGGGAAAAAGAGAAATCAAAAGTTTCAATAAAACAGTGACCGCCCCCCCCCCAGACGTTAAGATAGAATGTTTATATCATTAATCTCGGAAATCATAAGTTATTACCAAATCTCAAGTACTCATAATAAAGTCTCAAGAATAGGCTTAGTTTTAGATATTTTTAGATTAAAATTATATGCATGAAAAAGATCAGTGAAAATGACTGTATAAATAAGCAAGTGTTGCCGAAGTTTTACTCAAAATGGCCTTAAGCTTATCACCAAGAAGTCGCTTTTAAAATTGGGCAGACTTCATAAAATTTTCCCCATTTTCTCAGTCCTTATTGCTATATCTGTTCCTGTAATTACAATTCAGAAAGAATTTATTTCATTTTGAGGCTACTAGCATAGGTACCTATGAAGGCTAAAAAGGATAGCGACCCATACTCGGTATTTCTTTTAAAATGTATATTTAAGAATATATTTTACAGATACATTTCACTTTTTACAGAAAGATGCTACAATCAAGAATAAGTGTTATCTAACAGATATCAAATTTTTAAACTACAAAAGCTGTACAGGTGTAGATTTTGGTGGTAAGTTAGTTAATCATCAAGGATCATGTATCACAGAAGAAAACAAGGTTATCGAGTGTAACAATGGCCATTGGTCTGGTACCGGAAGCTATGTCGGTAAGATTTTGTTTTCTCTTTTGTCTGTTTGTTCTGTAATTGTTCTCATGTTTACTTTCAAATTAAAATTTTACATGTTGTGTTAATGATAGTGTAACTTTTTAACTTGTTGTTGTTGTTGGTACTATGGCTTTCTTTTCTTGTTATGCTTCTATTGGAAATATTACTGTCGCATCCGCAAGGGTAGACAATCTTTCACTAGAAATACCACACCTTTAAAAAGTGTCTTTTGAACAATAGATCTTTTATTTTACATCAACAAACATATCTTTTATTTTTTAAGAATGAAAATTAATACCAAAGACAGTACACCTGTACATATATGAGAAATATGTATCATATTTTAACATTCAGCTAAAATGCACTGATTTTTAAAATGCTGTACTGATTACAAGTCAGAACTATTATTAAGGTTTTTTTATTAATACAAGTATTATTATTTTTGTTGTAATAATCACTTTTATCATCATCATCATCATCATCATCATTTATATTATTACTATTATTATTTTTATTATTATTATCATCCTTATTATTGTGTGTGTGTTATTTAATTTTTACTTTTGTCATGCTTGTTTTCTGTAGTCGTTGTTGCTGTTGTTTGTTGTTATGTCCGTACAATTGTTTCTTTTTTGTTTTGTTGGTTCTTTATAATTACACTGTGACTTCTTTTTGAATTTTTTATATCTAAATGTGTGTTTAATTTTGCATAAAATCTGCAATGAGCAATAAAGGTTAAGTTCAGTGGTAAAGATTCAAACTGTAATTCCTACACGTATGTTAACAAAGAACACATGGCTTGTTTTGTATTTATTTAAAAGGACCTATACGTAGAGAAAAACGATTTTGGGGTGTTGTGGCCGGTTTTATTGGATGTTTTATTTTATGTAAGTATTTGTTAAATTATTTGTTTGTTTCTTTTTTCCTTTTGTAAAAGAAATAAAAAAGGGAAAACCCGGAATCCCTGAAAACGCTCAAAACGACAAAATTGAAAGGAATCAAATAGTTTTTATTTTTATAGATTTAATCGTGAACGAATTTGTTTTTCTAACTTAACAGTATAATATTATGGATATCCAATCTTATTGGAGTATCCAAGGCCAAGTGAATAAGGGTATTGATTTTTAAACCACTTGTCATTTACTGCCGTGGATTCGAACCAAACCCCGGACTTTGTGTTTTTATGTGAAGAAGCTGACCAACAGGGCGTTTTTACTCAAGTGCCTGTTTGTGTCTGAAAAAAAAATGCACGGGGCCCCCTTAGATATTCCTCCAATAAAAAATCTTGAACGTTAGCATATAACCTTTACAGTGTTGGTTGAAAAAAAAACAACCATAAATACACTACATCGCGCTTACGAATAACACAATTTTAATATTTGTGGTATAATTACTCACTTATTGAATAAATCTTTGACGATTAATGATACATGAAAAAGTTTATCTCTATTCTGGTTGTATTTTTATTTATTACAGTGATTCATAAAAAAGCATTTGTATTTGGGACACATTAACAAGATTTCTTCACGAAATGTAAAGATTTTAATCACTGAGCGTGAAAAATTAAATTATCTTTAAATTCATATATTTTCTTTCAAGGTGGTCGTGTTGGCGGTGGCGGCGGTGGCGGTGGTGGTCAAACACCGATAGCACATCCTCCTTCATTTTCCCAGCCTTGTAGACCACGTGATCTGCAAGAAAATTATAACATTGGTACTGGAGAAAATAATGTGATAGTAAACTGGACAGTGCCTTCAGCAATAGACGAGGATAACGATATTCCTAGGTCAGACTTACTTTAATTAATGCCATATAAGTCTATATATCATAGTTTTTTTAATTGAAATAGTTTCTAAGTCAATGTAAAAACAGTATGCTGTTAAAATAAGTGAAATGAGTAAAAAATTGAATCTATTACATTTCATACAAGTTCATATTATGATTATGGTTCAATAAATGTTTCAATGTTTTACACATTAATCTCTTTTCATATCATTGTGTAAACTGTATCCTAAACGTAGCCGGAGATGGTTTTCACATTGTGACTAGTGTCGAGCAATTGATTGAGACAACAAGACATTGCCGTAGCAAAATAAAAATACCGGCAAATACACAGCATTCAGACTTTTTTGTAATACAAAATAAATTGTAAAATTAAGTAATAGAAAGAGCACCGAAACACGAGGCTATCTGATTTGTACGAGGGGGCGTAGCCCCCGAGTATAAATCAGATTGCCGAGTGTTTTGGTGTTATTTCTCTTTTGTATCATAGTTAAACATGACAGTACGTTCCCTGTTGTCATTATACGAAACCCCAGAAAAAATGAATCAATGAACGAGCATTTGAATATGATATTTCTGCCCCTTTCCCTTTCTCTGCCGTCACAATATGTAAACCCCAGCAAAAATGAACAAATCATCGGGCATTATCTGGAGTGCGGGTAACTGATACCTGCACTCCAGTTACCGCACTGTCCATGTATGTGTATACGATTTAACTCTGACACTTTTTCAACAGAAAGGTCCCCAAACTATGATACAATGTATTTATAATCTTAAGGAAGTGGTAAAATCAAAGTCCCAGTTTGAGTTTAGCAGCAGGTATGACCTTTACTTTATGAAATGCTTTGGCTTCCGTGCGCTATTTAGCGATACAAATATTAAAGCATAAATGCGTTTCTGATATACCTTGTTCTCATTCCAATCATGAGTATACACAAACAAGACCTAAAATGCCCACTTATCCGGTCTTGGCGGTGTTTATCGGCTAGTAAACACCGGTTGGAGTTAGAAATTGACCTGAGTGGTTAATTTTTACGCATTAAAACGACAAAACCAGTATTAAATAGCTGATAAAAACCGCTCATACCGATATAATTTCGATACTAACAAGATAAAATAAGGAAGATCACTCATGATATTATTCCGATTTTCGTATAACGCTGTTCGATGTCGCACCCTACTGTTGCTAAGATAAAGAAATTATAAAATAATAAAAGAAATAAGAGAAAAAAAGTTATTTTACCAAGTTTTCAAAAATAAAAACTTACGTCTTAGAATTGATTGTATTGTGTTTACATCAGTGCCCAATTTATCATTCTTATATGTTTGAAATGACGTCAGCATTTATGAATGAGTTGTATACTTAGGGTGACGTCATTACGCTCCTTACGGATTGGCGCCGTTTTGTCAATTATTAACTGTTATGGATAAAAAATCTGTGGTGTATGTGAGATATTATTTCGGTATTTTATGAAAAGAAAACATTACAAGAACTGAAAATATCAATAAAAATGCTTTTTATTGGTGCTTGAACAGAATTTGCTAACTATATAATCGAGGAAAAAAACTAACAGCCGCATATACAAGTAGTTCCTAACCAGTGTTTATTGGCAATTTAACACCGTTTTTTTTCTTTGTCTATAGTGACAAATCACGAGAAGTGTTAGAATATTGGATAAAAATCGAAAACATGAAAAACAATTAGAATTCCCTCGCAATATGGCATTTTTACCTTGAAGTTAAAATTTTACCTGGATGTAAGACGCCCTGGCCATAGTATAGTCATTTACCAAATATTTTTATAACACACAAAGAAATAAAAACTATTAAACATATCTTTTTGCGACGGACGCGCCCTCAGGCGCGTTCAGAGCTAAGTCATCTACACATGGGATTTCGTTGGCTACACTCGCGCAATGTGTCCTAAACCAATTAACAGCCCAAGAAATAGTACATGAATTTGATCCTTCAAAACTCCCATACTTTGTCTGGATATCTTAATGTCTTCCATATTTAGCCTTTTCAATTCCAAATTAAGTTATCCAAGTTAAAATATGAACGTATATTATTGATAAAAACGTTGTAGTCCCGTAGTATTATTGCGCAATATGCAAATTACTGTTGAAACGATTTACCGCTGTCGAAAAAGTAGGACAGCAAATTATACTACAATAAAGGTGTAACTTCTGAGTTCCAAGACAATATTAGTAGGAAATAAATATTTCTACATTATACAAAACATTATTATTAACCAATCAAAAGTTTTTCGTGACTCTAGGATAACTCGCGCATTAATAAAAGAAGAACTATTTTCGTGACTCATACCGCGGGTTTAGCTGAATATTCAGCAGTTATTAATATATTAGATACAGTACAATGGCTAGTATAAATATCTATTTTTGAGAATGCATGTAAGACACTTTACCGCCATGTAGTCTTTCATGGTAAGGAAGTTTTAATATCAGTTCTACTTCCGATTCTTGTGGTTTGTTTACATATTTTACTAGGTCATGATATGAGTTAACCTTCGCTATTCTAAAAATAGATTCTGCTTCACCTGTTCTGATTTTTGGACAGGCGATCAGGAAGTACACATTAAACATATAATTAATAAACCAGCGGATTGTAATGCAATACTTTTAGAAATGCTATACAAATGTAAGAAGCAAACAAGTTGAAAATGGAATTTAGTGTGAAGTTGAAAAGGACAACTAAACACTGTAGTGCTTAAGTGACATTTAAATTAAAATAAAAACGATGTGCTCTGGTCTCTACATCTTTACCTTGTAAATAAAAAAAATCTAAGAAATACACTATTAATTGCTGATGATTTTAACCAATTTTTTTTTAATGAGACATATCCATGTATCCAAGAGAAATAAAAATACAAATGACTTAAATTTTATTGCCTGTATGCCCACTATGATATAATACGAAGCAATTCTAAATAGCATTCTCAAATGTATAATGTATTATGTTTGAAGTTTATTTGCCTGGATTTATTCTAGAAATATTTCGTTGATAGTTTTTTTTTCTATATATATTTACATATCATTTCTTAGAATAAATCGATAAGGACACTGATTTACAAGTTTGACCAAAGTTTTTAGGCATAAATTTCATTCTGTATTTAAGTGCTTGAAAGTAGAAAATCTGAATTATATCAATTTAAGACACAAAATATATTGCTCTACAAATCTCGAACTTGTATGGAACAAATTTTCTCTGTTATATATTTTGTGTTTTGTTTTTTTTTTGTTTTTTTTTTCTAAAAGAAGCCTTAATGTCTCTCCGGTTGCATGTCCGTCGCATTCAGTGCTGCAGCACTTTGATTTATCTTTGACCTCCACATTAACCCCAAAGTTGCAGACAGTAGTATTGCGCATGTGTCACCGTCTTAAAGGGAGACACAGGCAAAATTTTCACTTCTTAGTTTTGAGTTTTTCATTCATAACTCTGTAAATATCCTCAAAATGAATACACTAGGCAGTCAAAGGAACAAACTTTTCTCCATATAAAGAATTTATTGTAGTTTCCTAACTTGACCCGCGTGGGTTAGAATAGAGCGCTAAGATTTCACAATAGTTGTCACAGTGACCTCTGGAAACGTTGTAGAACATGCCAAAATGAATGACTTAGACTTGTTTCAATCATACAATATCCACAATATCGGTTTTTTAACTTCAAGGGTTTAATTCAAGTCACACGACTTGTCTAATAGTATTTGGTGATTCTGTTGGAGTCTAGACTGTGTTAAACATACAAAAATATATTTACATTTCAAACCCAAAATATGTAGAATTAACACAGAAATTTATGCTGTGACTTTAAGTAATGTCATTTTAACGTAATTTGAGTACACAAGATCATTTTAATATTTCTGTCACTATTTTGCCTATGTATTCATTTAATAAAATGAAATGATATACCAACCAATTTTTACAATCTATCAAGTAATGACAGAAATTTAAAGCCAATTGTATTTGACCTATGACCTCGAATTTTGACCTTGACATGAAGATGCAAATACGACTTTTGCATGCAACACATAGCGTGACTGTAGTGAAGACATATACCAAAAATATTTGACAATCCATCTAGCAATGATACAGTAATAAGCCTGACAGGATTTGACCGTGAACCTCCAGTCTTGACTTCAACACATGTCCTATTTAAAGTGTTAATGTGTACTAATTTATGTTGAAATCCCTTCATGCATGCAGGTGTTAAAGATGTGTAACAAATCTAGAGGCCTTAGACTTCAATGCAACACGTTGACCCTTTATGATGATCACTTGAACAAACTGAAAACCCATACAATATTATGAACTGGATACAAACTGTTAATGTAACAGTTCTAAATACATATTTATAACAAATTCACATCCTTTCAGTGATCTTGACCTTTGACCTACAGACATAGGTCTTGCACGCGACACATTTTCTAATGGTGGCCTTATTTACTAATTTATGTTGAAATCCGGTGATACATGAAGAAGATATGGGCCGCTCTACAAATACACAGGTAACATGCTGTGAACTTGACCTGTCATAATGTAACCTGGTTCTTGTGCGACAAATTGTCAATTGTTGAATCATTATAGTCATGTGCAGAAATTTAGTTTGCAATCCCTTGCATACAAAGTTATGACTCGGACACGAAGTACATACTTTTTCAAATGCATATGTGCTCTATCGCATACGCTCTTAACGGCCCCTCCACTGCAATTTTATAGCGGAGGATTGATAATCTCTTGTACTGATATTTTGTTGTGTTTACATACAACATATGTATATTTTAGTGTTGTTCAAGTTGATGGCGGTGAGAACGGAGGACGGTTTGACGGCGCCATATCTGGAAAGACACATTCTATCATTTACAAAGCAACAGACTCAGACGGTCTCACAGACCATTGTTATTTTAACTTTACAGTCACTGGTATGTCGATAAATATGTAATCGAACTGATTTTTTTTTTCAAATAATTTTATTACTGCACAACAGACGCATTTTTCAAAATTCAAATATAATTTCCGCTAATATTTTTACTGCAACGAGAAAAAACAACAACAAATGAATACATTAACATAAATAATATAAAACATGTTCTGAGCTTTTCTTTTTCTTATGCAAGTACTGACCTGCGATACCCTTCCTTGGTTTGCAAATGGTAAAAGATATTGTGACAACAAGAACATACTAGGAAGCTCGTGTAAATACACATGCGACACTGGGTACATGCTAAACGGAAGTGATACAGTCGTGTGTGAAAATGAAGCAGATCCTTCTTGGTCGGCGATTCCTATTTGTGAAAGTAAGAAAAACTGAATCGTTAAAATAAACTGAGTTTAATAGTATATGAAACATTTTGTATTCAATATAACTATGTTCGGAAATTACTTCCTTTGACTTCTAAACCTTAACGAAAAGTATTTATTCAAAGGATATTTGTCGTATTATTATTTAATATGGTGCTGTGCTTAGTAAACAATTACTAATAAACCCGGCAACAGTAAAACAACAGTATACATGTATAATTTCGTTACTCTTAAGATAAATATTACGGTTATTGTTTGCTTTTTTGTAAAGAGATCATGTGCCGAGCTCCACAATTGCCTGAGCATGCCACAGTTCAGTGCTCGGATCAAAACTACGGATACCAAACGGTATGTGCAATGGCATGTGACAATGGATATGCATTAGTAGGAGCTTATTATATACAGTGCCAGGCAAACGGATCTTGGTATAATATTGCAAACTCATTGTGTGTTGGTAAGGAGGCATGTTTAAGATGTTTCTCTTATTGCAGTGTTTGTTATATGTCACAGTTTGTCTGCCAAAGGCTGAATTTTTCATCATTGGTAATTGCATTATATTTATAATTGAATTACATGATAGATGGTTATTTAAAGAAAATAATATTCTGAGTATAATAGATGAAATCTATAAGTCGTAAATAAAGTCAGCAATAACAAATGATTACACAAACACAATACTTTGTGTTGTAATAATCATTTTTATGTGTGACAAATGAGCAATATTGAAATTTAGTTGTACCTTCTTTTTTCCCTTTGATCAAAACTTCATGCAGTCTAGCGGGCGTGATACGTTCCCTTATCAGTTAATTAAAACACTCCGTTACTTCAAATGTAAGAATGTGGACGGTAGTGGAACATCGGGCCGACGCGCAGAAGAATAAGGGCGTGAGAGGTGTTGCATTTTTTACATTATCTCTCATGAAATGACTTAATCAAACCGAATCTCTAATTCTAATATAACATTGTTGTTTCATTGTTTTCGACGGATCACCCCATTTCAAGAATTCTAGATAAAATAATCGTATGAATTAAATCATCATTATTTCAAATCAGGCATTCTTTCTCATCATAACTAGATAACACACCGCCAACTATTTCCTGTGTTACTCCACAAATATTTTACGCCGACCGAGGCATTACGTCAACGTTAGTTAAATGGCAACTTCCAGAAGCGTTTGACAAAACAGATGAGCACCCTTCCATAGTACAAACAGGTGGGCCAATATGGGGTTCAGAGCTTGAACGAGGAACTGAAGTTGTAACATATATGGCAGTTGACGTGAATGGAAACAAATCGCCTGAATGTTTAATCGAACTTCGCATTGAGGGTATGTTCATTTATTACATGCTTTTCGGTGGTTTATAGAAATATATCAGTGATATAAAACTGGTCATTTCACTGTTTGAAACAGTGAAATTTCCACTTTGATAATTTCACTGTTTTGAATTTAAGCCCCTTACGTTGTTTCAGTGAAAAACCAGCGTGCACAGTACTGGGTTCAAACTTAATGACGTATCTCGTAAATGACGTCACGTTGTATTATTATTTGGCGCGCTTTTCATTCAGTATTAGGTTTAATGTCTTTTTAAAACGTTTCTTTGCATATAATAAAAAAATGTGTTTAGTTCAGTGTAAGATCGGAATATATTTCACCTTGTGAACACCAAAAGTTCATATTTCACTCGTGGCTGCGCCACTCGTGAAATATATCTTTTGGTGCTCACTCGGTGAAATAAATTCCGATCTTACACTGAACTAAACAAATATCCTCTATATAATGTTTCGGGTTGTGACCAATCAGGTTTTTTTTCTGTGGTTTTTGTTTTTTGTTGTTTTTTTCTGTTATTATTTTTTCTGGTTTTTTTCTGGTTTTCTTTTTTTTTTTTTTTTGGAGGGGGGGGGGGCTTTCTTTCAATTCCTCCAACAGAGCTTACACCCATTATTTTGTTATACAGTTTTGAGAACTCTCACGAGGCTTTGAAAACAAGTACAGCGGGTAATTCTAAATCAAGCTTCTTAGCAGTTATGATAAATAATGAATATACTTTCAGTAATAGTTATAGTATATGAAACGAGTTAGTTACGAGGGTATAACACTGGCTGGGGCGACATCAAGGGGTGTTTCTGCTAAAAAATGGCGAGGCCGTAAGGCCGAGACAATTTTTTTGCAGAAACATCCCGAGATGTCGCCCCAGCCAGTGTTATACCCCCGTAACGAACGAGTTTCATATACTATAATTGTTTTATCGCAATGGCATGTTTTCCTTTTTTTGTATGGAAACAAATAAATAAATTAATCGTTAGCTACATTACAGTTATTTATGATAAGGCAGTTTTTCAAGTTGTTTTCGCTGCCGCAAAAAAAAATATACAAAAGACATCCAATATAAGAGGCGGATTGTATACTGTTACAAAGATTGATTTAAGATTAAAGGGCTTTTTTCAGTGGAAATAATTCATTTAGCGGTTGTACCTTTTGATTATCTTTGTTTATATTTATCATTGTATTTATATATTTATTTTATTTTATTTTATTGATTTCATTTTTTTTTCTACTGGGAACGGTCGTTACCACTGCCCGGTCGGAGCCTCTATGAAAAAATGTGTTGATATATACAAGGTGCGAAAAAAACTCGACCGATATATAACAGTCGAGTTTTTTCCTATATGAATCAATTAAAAAACTGTACTGTCATATATCAGTACAGTTTTGAAATGCTCATTGAAGCGTACTGAGTATAATGGGTTGGTAAGAACAAAGGAAAAGTTCCAAACCATACGATAATAAAAAATAACAGTTAACATAGGGATCTTTAGCTACCCGCTATGCTCAATAGTGAGATTATCAAATTGATAATCCATGGACCGATGGTTTGTTCCAGGGGTGAGGGTAAGGCTCTTCTCGACTTCTATTGATCTCAGATATTGAGTCTCGAGGTCATTTGTGTTTCAATGTTGAATAAGAAATTATGTGAGATAAGAAGTCGATCACTTGCGTGCGAAATTTGTACTTACTGATAAGGTTTTATATGGACTAACCGTGGCGATATGACAATAAATGTGTTCAAATCAACGATAGCACTTGCCAACCAAACCAACCCTACATAAAACAATACATTCCTCGACCGTTTTCACTTTTTGTGAAGTTTTTCTTATTCTTTATCTTTTTAACTTATCCAGTTAATTCCTTACATCAGTTGAATTGTAAACAATCAAGAAGACTACACAAAGTCGGTCAAGGCCAACAGGAGTGTTCGTGTTAGAGGTGTTTATGCACTTATTTGATAGAAAATCCATAAGTAAACAAGAAATTTGTGGTTTATGCTACCTTATAATCCAAGATATATTTTGTATGGACTTGACACATAGAAGCTATTAAGCCCGATTTTTGAATCATTGAAGCACTTATGCAGTTTGCAACATCTTGCAAATGAAAAATGGATGAAGTTGTAATATTAAAAAAAAATCTACCACGACTGTCCGAATAACTTTATATCGTTTATACCACACATAATAAAGTGTAATTTTATGAATTAAATTCATGAATTTTATAACTTTAGTTTACATTATAAAATTTAATTAATACAACCCAACAAAAATGTTCATATCAATTTATGCATACATAATTATGACTAAATGATGCACAAAACTTGAAAAGATGCATTGTTAATCCCATCAATTCATTTGCTGGCTTGATCAAAGATAAAAATCCTAATGATTTATAGCCGAAAGCAATTAAATCTACTGATATTGCAATTGATATCAATTGATTTTGCAGTAGTAATGTGCGTTCATCCTATGGATAGATTTGATGATGATTTCTTAAGATTTGATTGCTCAACACCACGGATCGGTTATATCTACGGCACTTCATGCAATCTGTCATGTAATTCAAACTTGCCACGCAATGGCTCGGATGTCATAACCTGTGAAGACAATGGTACCTTCGAGGGCAATTGGAGTTTCTTAGGAGGAGAACCATTTTGTAGAGGTAATTTTATACCATGTACTGTTTTCGTTGGCAAGTTTTCATTATGCGATCATCACTACTCTTAATCATATATCACTATATTTCTGAGTCATGTTCATTTTTGAAAAATGAAAATAAACGGACCTTCAATGCATTTGAAAGAGCCATTCTGTAAATGACTTGGTTAATTCATTTAAAGAAATATGTATCTCAATTTTGCAGTAAAGTCAAATGAAGTCAAATTATCTTCACTAAGTAACGTTTCATGATGACTGACCATTGATTGGTAATGACAAATAAAACACTGCCAAAGTATAAAAAGATTGCCCGACTTTTTTTTGCTAATTGAACAGTTCATCTAAATTTCTCACATTAACAAAAACGTCCATGGATCACGTGTTTTTTTATTTTTGTAGGTATGCGAAGAAGGTTTTATAATTGGAAGCAATTATGGAAAAACTTAAAGATATTTTGATTTTACCTCTACTTCAATTTTCAACAATTTGATAAGCATAAAGCCATTTAATGTACAAGATAAAAGTCATTGTCCTCGCTCTCGCATGCCTATTGCCATGAATGTGTTTAATTTTCTTTCAGAAATATCTTGTCCTGAATTGGACCCACCAATTAACGGTGCATTGGTTTATGACACAGTATTGACACGTCCTATGCGTCAATTGATCTGTAATGAAAAGTACGATATACCACCTATGAGCATACCTTTCAATGGGATTTTTTTCTGTACCGATAATGGGAACTGGGTCCCATTGCAAAAGGTTCCGAATTGTGTCGGTAATAATTATTATACATGTTATAATTAAAAAAAACCGTTGGATAAGTAACATAAAGAAGATTTATATTTTTGTCACATTGATCAGTGATATCAGTATCAAAAAATGCCTCTTTCAAAAATGAACTGGGCATGAAATAAGCGTCAAAAAGGCGTTAAATAAGGGTTATTATACAAATTAAAAAGACCAGCAGAAATAAGCTTATTTTGTATGCTTTAAGATTGATTTAACTCTGTATCATGAATTAATAAATGAAAGTTTGAGTGAACGTTATTTCTTTTAAAAGGTATTTGGAAGTATAAAAGGCACGTTTTTTGTCATATATTAACTTTTGTAATGTTTTGTAACGAACTATTTAAACCAGTTAAACATTGCAAAAACAGACATCCCTATTTATGTCATTATTTTGCATACATCTTTCTAGAGCCAAGAGATCCAAGATTTGTCAACCTACCTGCTGAGATATTTTACTATGGAGGGGAATGCGGATCAGAAGAAACAATGGCGCAAATTAAATCGAATTTCCAAGCTTTAATTCAAACAAATCTTGATCCTTATTTCGGAATAATTTGTCCACCTGGATTAACTTGTATCGCGAGAGATATTGTTATCACATGCGGGCCTATTGAAAGCCGAAAGAAAAGATCTCGGGCATTTGGAGTTCTAAAACGCAATCTACGATCAACAAAATGTAATGGTAAATTCATATATAACACTTTGTGCATGCGCAATTTTAGTTGGTCTTTATTAAATATAGAGCCATAAATTATATAATTGTTGTGAATTGATACAGTAATTGTCTATTGTTTCTTTATTTATGGTAAATTATAGTACAAAAATAATAAATAAACAATAGAAAAAACTTCAAGAGGATTAGTCTACTGTAGGCATTTTACATTAAGTAATTACATTTTGCATAAGTATTCAAATGATAATATTTTGTTATCTGCTATATAAATATATGTAATGTTGGACCATGTATTTCACATTTCCCAACATGCATCTATAACACATATTTCTTACGTGGCTTGTAGTAATGTTTGATAGTAAATTCTATCAACGTCATTACTTTTATATAATAAAAATCTGGAACAAAGTGATCCCTCGGAAGCATTAATCACAACAAAATTACATAAGAATTGCCGGCTCGGTTTGATTGAGTCTGTACATGAGGGATAATAAATAAGTGCAACATCCCTCACGCCCCCTAGCACCCTTACACCTCTTGTTTTGCCAAATTTATTGAAAGTGTTTCAAAATTAATTATTTTTTTTACAGTCGTAACTTAATAAATAAATTGTTTATAGACATTACCTCTTAACTATTGAACACATTAAAAACCTTCTCCAAACGAAAAAATAGTCCAAGTCATTATTTATAAGACAAAACAGTTACGTACATCATACTAAGGAAATTTATGTATTCAATAAGTTATTTTCGTGATGTATTGTAACTCTATGTATGTCAACATTTTCAGTAGCCTCAAATAATCACATCATTGCGAAGCGGAACGCCAATACACATTCGTTGAGAGTGAAATTTAACATTGTAACGTCATTCAACGAAACCAACACATCATTTCAAGATACAATTAAGTTAATCGATGACGTTCAACTTCAATTGTTAGTACCAGTAGTAAATGACTTGCTTCAAAATGGAACATTTGACATTGACAACTATGTCCTTCAGTCCGACAATGTATCGACACCGGATTACGGAACTATAACATGCGATGATAGCTATGTCCTGTACCAATCAAAATGTAGTAAGTCGAATTGGTTTAAACAATATTTATCGTTTTCCATATTTACAAACAGAATTGTAATACATAAGTAACATCAAGGATTAAGTTGATAGATTAAAGCTTATATAAAACACTCTCATGTAGTTAAAATTTCAACAGTTTATTTTAGTAACAACAAAATATAGCTTTTATGAATATCGTTCATAGTACTTGCTTTAAATTTTTTTCACATATTTTATTACAAGAAGATAATAAATAGCTACTGCGTAAGATGTTATTTGTAAAGGATCATATAAAGGAGCTGAACATGTCAAATGTGTAAGATGCAATGCCTATGTAAATTTCTCGACAAATTGGTTTACGTTTTAGTGTGCAACTGTATACTTACAAACTTGATGTTAATTTACTTGCTTTTGTTTCCTGAGTTTTCATATAGACATATAGGCAAAATTAAAACTGTTCAATAGAATTTCTTTTAACCTGTCATATTATTAGAATATGATAACAGAAACATTTTAAACTGAAAAACATTTGGGGTCACCGTACTCATTTTCGAGTTATCTGCCCTTGAATTTGGCCTCTTCATTAAATTCAAGGACAGATAGTTCACAATGAAGCGAAACAATACATTTTTTTTCTTCTTATTTTCATGAAGCTTACCTTCGTTTTAGTCAATATGCAAAATTTCAAGAACAAATTAAGACTGGATAGTTTTTTGTTCCTACTTCTTCTCTTAACCTGTGCATTTTTTCTTAATAATTGGCATATTTTTAAGAATTTAAAGTACCTTTATTTTCATTGAAAAAATAGCAGAAATGATATAAGGAATTGCAATAATGCATTGTATTCAACAATAAAAAGAAAACATTATCCAGAAGTAAAAACAAGAATTCATTTACGTATGTATAAGTTATCTGTTCTTTAAATGACCTCAAATAAGTAGAAGTACAAGTAAAAGGGGCGTTTCTCCGCTCAAATTATCGAACCATAATAAAATTCAAACTTGACCTACGCATTTCTTTGACGTATCAAAATGTCAACTTTGAGTTGAATGTGCATAAATGTTTGGAATATAATGAGCCGAAACTGAAAGGTTAAAGGGGCATATCTCAGCGAAAGTTCATTAAACCATGACCAAATTAAAACTTGACCTGCGCATCCTATTGCTGTATCCATATGTCAAACTTGAATTGAATGTGTACAGTTGTAGGGAGATAATAATAAATGGAAGCTGAAAATTTCTTCTTTTTGCAAAGAAGAGGGGCATTTCTCTGCATACATTGAACCATGACCACATTTATATGGCATATCCATATCTAAAATTTAAGTTGAATGTGCATAACTGTTTTAATGATAATGAACGGAAACTAATTTTCTTTTAAAAAAGAAAGGGGCTTAACTCAGCCAAAATCATCGACCCAAAACAAATTCGATTTTGACCTGCTCATATTTTTGACGTATCCATGTGTCAAATATGAGTTTAATGTGCATAACTGAAAAATTCTCATTTTTTCAAAGTGAAAGGGGCGTAACTAAGCCAAAATCATCGAACAATAAGTCAAATTTAAGTTGAATGTGTGCAACCGTTACTTAGATAATGTGAACGGAAAGTGATGATGACGGAATGACGGAAGGACGGATTGACATAACAGGGTCACACTTTATGCCTCAGCAATTTATGGCAGTGGCATAAAAAATCTGCCATATTGCAAAGTAAAATATATCAGCATAGAACTCGAAAAGCATTATTAAAATATCTTTGTTGACATTTACAGAGCCCTGTTCAATTGGCTACTTTTTCAATAAAACAAGCAACGCGTGCGACGAGTGTCCGGCTGGGCAGTATAGAGATAACGAGAGCGATATTAACTGTTTGTCTTGTCCAGATGGATATTCTACTCGGTACTCAGGTTCAACATCCAGGAAAGACTGTCTCCGTATGTATATTATACTGACATTTAAATATTATAATGGATTATTTTGCGTACAACTATAATGTTACTTAAGTTCATTAGAAAAGTGAAATTAGAATACGGTCTGTATCTTCTAAACCTTACTTATTTATTAGTTTGATTTATTCTTCAAATAAATCGTCGAAAATTAAAAAAAAACATATTTTATTATTCCTACGTCTAAACAAATACGAGGGCAGTTCAACAAGGTCATGAACAATCACTATAAAACAAAAAATTAACACCCGAGTCTAAAATAAATTTGCGCAAGTGTATCTACATCAATTTGAAGTAAAATAAAAACGTAAGCAACTAGCGAATTTCAATACCAATCATTGACTTGCATAGCAACAAGTGACTTTCCATAGCAACTATTAACTTCGATAGCAACCAGAGACTTTCCAAAGCAATCATAAACTTCCATAGTTACCAGTGACTTATCATAGCAACAAGTGAATTACATAGCAACCATTTAAATTCAATTAAAACCATAGACGTCTTGAGCCCCCAGTGATTTTCCATAGCATCCAATGACCTGCCATAGCAACCAATAACATTCCATAGCAAGAATTAACTTCCATAACAACTGGTGACTTTCCATAGTAACAAGTGACTTCCGTTATAACCAGTGACTTCTCATAATAACCAGTGACTTACATAGCAACCATTGACTTTCAATTGCAACCAAAGATTTCTTTAGCATCTAGTGACTGTCCGTAACAGCCAGTGACTTGCAATAGCAAGCATTGACTTTTCGTAGCAACCACTGACTTTTCATAGCAACCATTGGTTTCCATAGCAACCAGTGACTTTCTACAGCAATCATTGATTTCCATAGCAACCAATGAATTCAAATACCAGTTAGTGACTCTCAAATCAACCATTATCTTTCCAAAGCAACCGATGCCTTTTAATGGTAGCCATTGACTTTCAATAGCAATCAGTAAACAATATTGCATCCATGGACTATCTATAGCAACCACTTACTTTCAATAGCAACCATTGACTTTCCTGTGCAACCACTGACTTTTAAGCAACCAATGCTTTTCCATAGCAACCATTGACTTTCTTCAGCAACAATTGACTTCTAAACCAACCTGTGACTTAACATATCAACCAAAGTCTTCAATCACAATCAGTGACATTTCAAAGCAACCATTAACTTTTCCTAACAACTAGTTACTAGCAATATCTACCATAGACTTCCATACGAACCAGTGACTTTCCATAGCAACTATTGCCTTCCGTAGTCACCACTAACATAACATAGCAACTTGTGACTTTCCATGGCAATATGTTTGCTATGGAAGTCAGTGATAGCTGTAAGAAGTCACCACTACCTATTAAAGTCAATGGTTGCTATGGAAAACAATTGTTCCTGTGATAAGTCAGTGGTTGCAATTGAAAGTCAATTGTTGCTATGAAAATCACAGGTTGCTTTGAGAAATTACTGGTTACTATGCAAATATATGGGTGCTATCGAAAGTCACTGGTTGCTTTGGAAGTCAATGGTTGCTTTAGGAAGTTACTGGTTGCTATGGAAAGTGAATCGTTGCTATGCAAAATCAATGGTTGCAATAGTGGTAACTGTTTGTTGATGAAAGTTACTGGTTTCAATGGAAAGTTAATAGTTGCTTTGAAGATCACTAATTGATATTTGAAGTCTTTGTTTGCTATGAAAGTCAATGATTGCTGTAGAAAGTCAACTATTGCTTTGGAAGTTTATGGTTGTTATAGAAATTCAGTGGTTGTTATGAGTGGCAGTGGTATCTATGGAAAGTAAATGGTCACAGAAGAAGTCACTTGTGGCTATGACAAACAATGGTTGCTATGGAAGTCACTGGTTGATATGGAAGTTTAACTGTTGCTGTGAAAAGTCTCTGGTTACTTTGGAAGTAAATGATAAACATGGAACATCACTGGGTGCTTTGGAAATCACTGGTTACTATGGGAAGTCACTCGTTGGCATGGAAGAATATTGTTAGTATGGAAAGTCAATGGTTGCTATGAAAAGTCAATGGTAGCCAGCCAAGAGCAGCCCTAATTGCTATTTAAAGTCATTTCATGCTCTGGAAGCAAATGTTTACTTGAGAAAGTCAACTGTTGCTATGACAGTCAATGATTACTACAGAAAATCAATAATTGCTATGGAAGTCAATGATTGCTAAGGAAAGTCACTAGTTGCTATGGAATGTAAGTGGTTGTTATGGAAGGCAATGGTTGCTTTAGAAATCAATAGTTGGTAAGGAAAGTCAGTGGTGGCTATGGAAGGTTAGTGGTTGCTAACGAAAGTCAATGGTTGCTATAGAAGTAAATGGTTGCTATGGAAGTCAATAATTGCTATGGAAAGTCAATGATTGCAATATTGGTTACTGGTTTGCAATTGAAAGTCAATTGTTGCAATGAAAGGCAATGGTTGCTATGAAAAGATAATGGTTGCTATGAGAGTAACTTATTGCTACTTAAAGACACTGTTTGCTATTGAAGTCAATGATTGCTGTAGAAAATCACTAGTTGCTCTGAAAGTCACTTGTTGCTATGGGAATTAAGTGGTTGCTAAGGAAGTCAATTGGTGCTATGGAAAGTCTGTGGAAGCAACTGTGGTCGCTGGTTGCTATGGTAGTGCTTTGGATGTTATAGAAATCAATAGCTGCTCAAGAAGTTTATGGTTGCACATAAAGTTCAATAGTTTAAGTAAATCACTGGTTGCTATGAGCAGTCACTGGTTATTGTGAAAGTCTTTGGTTGCTATGGAAAGACAATAGTTGCTATTGAAGTCAATGGTTGTTAATAATGTCTTGGTTGCCATGGAAAGGCATTGGTTGCTATGGAATGTCACTGAAAGCTGAAGAGGTCAGGGGTTGCTATGGAAAGTCAATATTTCATATGTAATTCACTCGTTCCTATGTAAAAATCTGGAAACAAAGTGATCCAGCGGAAGCATTAATCGCAACAAAATTACAAGAGAATTGCAGACTCGGTTTGATTGAGTCTGTACATCAGGGATAATGCATATGTGCAACATCCCTCACGCCCACTAGCACCGGCTTGAGCGGTACTCAATTCTCGACACTCAATAGTGCTGGCATCAATGATCCCGAAGGAACAGAAAAATATAACAACACTGAAGTGAAGTCATTGCTTGCTTTGGGAAGTCATGAGGCGTCATGGAAAGTCAATGATTACTATGGTCAGTAAATGGGAAGTCACTGGTAACCATGGAAGTCTATAGTTGCTATGGTAAGTGACTGGTCACTGTGGAGGTAACTGATTGCTATGAAAAATTAATGGTTGCTATGGAAAGTCACTGGTTGCTATTCATAATTTTGAGTAAGCTTTTTTTTTAAAACCTTAATGTTTTAAGTCAATGTGGTTGCTATAGGGAGGTAATGGTTGCAATTGAAAGTCGATTCCTACTATGTGAGTCACTGTTGCTATAAGAAGTCACTGGTTCCTATGAGGAATATCAATGATTGCTATCAAAGTCAATGGCTGCTATGTTATTCACAGGATTCTATGGAAAGTCGATGGTTTGCAATATTGCTTACTGGTTGATATTTTAAGTCAATGGTCGCAATTGAAAGGCACTGTTTACTTTGGAAAGATAATGGTTGCTATGAAAGCAAATAATTGGTTTTTGAAGTCAATATGTGCCATGTTAGTCGATGATTGCTTTGAAGGTCACTGGTTGCTATGGTAATTCAGTGTTTGCTGTGGAAGTAAATGGTTGCTATGAAAAGTAAATGATTGCAAAAGAAGTCGCTGGTTGCTATGGAAAATCAATGGTTATGGCAAATTACTAGATGTTAACGAAAATCACTAGGTACTAAAGAATTATATTATTTTAATTGAAAAAAATGGTTGCTATGTAAGTCAGAGGTTGCTTTATGATGCCACTGGTTACAATGGAAGTCTAATTCTGTTATGAAAAGTCACTGGTTGGTGTGAAAAGTCAATTGTTGCAATAATGGTTACTGGTTGCTATAATAATGCCATGATTGAAAGGCATTGGTTGCTATGGAAAAACAATGGTTGCTACCAAAGTCACTTATTGGTATTTGAAATCACTGTGTGCTATGTAAGTCAAAGTTTACTGTCGAAAGGCATTGTTTACTATGGTAATTTTGTGGTTATTTTTAAGTTCATTGTTGTTATGGAAGGTCACTGGTTGCAAAAGATGTCAGTGGTTGGTATGGAAAGTCAATGGTCTTTATGGCAAGTCCCTTGATGTTATGGGTAATCACTGGGTTTTTAAGAATTCTATGGATGCAATTGAAAATAATGGTTGGTATGTAAATCACTGGTTGTTATACAAAGTCACTGGTTACTATGGAAGTCGTTTTTTTTGCTATTCAAAGTCAATGGTTGCTATGAAAAGAAAATGGTTGCTATGAAAGTCAAAGGTTAATTTGGAAAGTCACTGGTGGTGCCATAGCAAAAAAATAGTATTCCATGGCAACCAGTGACTTTCCATTAACTCTCCTTAGCAACCGTTTACATTCCATGACATCTATGGACTCCCTATAGCAACCAGTGACTACCCATAGCAATTGATGACTTACACAGAAACCAGTGACTTACATAGGGACCATTAATTTTCCATGACAACCATAGATTTCTTAAGGAACCAGTGTCTAACCATAGAAGCCAGTCCCTTCCCATGACAATCATTGACTTTCCATAGCAACCAGTGATTTCCCAAAGCAACTATTGACTCATAGCATCACTGACTTTCCAAAGCAACCATAGATTTTTTAACACAGAATGACTTGCTATAGGAACCAATGACTATAGCAACCATAATTTTTTCATAGCAACCAGAACCTTTAAGTGGGAACCTTTGACTTTCCATAGCAACCCGTAACAAATATTGCAACCTTTAACTGGGTGGCACACCTATGAACTAAATCAAGTTTAGCCTTTGTAGTTCTGATAAGATATGTTATCGTAGGATATTCGTTAAGATTTTGAACTTTTCCTAATTGACACGATAATATACTACTACAGCTGTCGGATAGGTGATATCTGTATCATGTCATGTTATCTAAGAAACTACTGGTACACACTTGTTATTTACACATATCGAAAACAATGGTCCGTTAAAATTCTGTTCTTTGACTGTTGTTTGACTGTCCCAGTATGATCTTTACATAACAGATCATATATTTCATAACAGTGTCGGTGTGAATGAATTAGAACCCGTCAAAATAAATAGTCAAGTAAAATGTACTTCAAATGTCCAATGAATTTTGTTCTTAAAAAGCAATAACAAGATATCTAATTTGCAGAACTATGTATGCCGGGAACATACTCTCCAGATAAGTTCGAGACTTGCTCCACGTGCAGCCATGGTTACTATCAAGATGAGAATGGGCAGACGACATGCAAACAATGTCCTGATGGAAAAACGACAGTATCAACTAACAGCAGCTCAAGGAGGGATTGTAAAAGTAACTCGCTGTTTATTGTTACAAAATGTTATCAAGTTACCTTACCAATTAGTAAGGTGTTTTGATTAAATTAATTCATTCGATTTTTTAAAGTCAAAAAGCACCACATTATTTTTTCTATATTGTGAGTTTTACTTTGTAGCTCTCTACTGTACCTTGATGACTATTTAAATATAACCTCCGAAAACATTTTCGCTTTCGGAGTATTAAGCTATTCTGCTGAGCATCGATTAATATATTTGGGTGCCCCTTCGTATTTTTAGGGCCATTACAGTGTTTTTTGCGACTTACAACCAAACCAAAACAGAGTTTGCATACTTGTATCACTGCATTGAAATTTTTAACAGAAAGCTGTGCTTTCAAAACATTTTAGCCCAACTAGACATTAAGCATGTTGCTAACTCATTCAATGATTTGATATTTACTGACTCTGTTTAATTGTTGCGATTGTCTTTTTTTTTCTTTCATTAAAGAATTTTGTTTATCCAATACCATGACACTTGAGCTAACAAAACCTCGTATCCTTTTAAGTAATAGTATTATTTGAAAAAATTATAATGTTATCATTTTTATCCAATTTTATTAGATTTAACATCTTAATTTTAAAATCATTTCCTTTTATTACTTTTATAACTTACAGTTAGAAATAGCTGCACATAATTTAGCCGCCTTAACAAGTATATCACAAGGTAACACGCATGTAGAAAATGAAAAAAATATTTTGTCGTGCAAAATGTTCACCGTCGGGAACACTAAAACGACAATCTGTTTATTTTATATAAATGCACGTGTAGAATATTGAAAGTAACTAAAGAAATCCTTTCAGAACGTAAACTCTAAATTCACCGTCGGAGAAATTCATCAAAAGGAGTTTATAACTAGCAATGATATGTATATTGTTTAGAAGATGCAGCTCAATTACTTAAAGAAACATATACATGTAAAAATCGCAATATCTTTTCACAAATATGACTTGCGTAAAGTCCGTTCTTTTATAAAATTGTTTCTTTGACCATATGTTTAAATGAAGTACTTTGTACTTCAATTTTAACTAAAAGACACTTGTGTTTGTAATGAAATAATAGGGATATCAAAAGAGCGTCTTTTTCAGATTTTGACGTTTTTCTCAAAACAACAAATGGCGATGTTACAGTAGCAGAATTATCTGAAACACTGACCAATTTTACATTAATGTTTTGGACAACGATTGTCGATTCACAAACCTCAAATGCTTCAATGACATTAACAAGTGGTGGTTTGACTCTAATCAACGTTCTTTGGAATACTTATTTACAAGTTCAGATCCGGTAAGTCTTATTTCGTATTTACGAGTTGCTCAATTCTTGTATGATTACTTCTTTAAAAAAAACTTATAATGCCTTGGTAACAATTATGCGAGTTTTAAAGATTTTTTTCATTTTTCAGATCATTGATAAATGAAACTATTGCCTTCCATGGCAGTAGTAAATGGAGACACGTTGCAATTTCGTTGGATACATCGAACTCCCAAGTAAGGTTATATTTTAATGGAGAACTTGCAAAATCTTCATCGTTGAACTCTTCATCAATATCCTCATTTAACCAAACTAGCACATTGACAGTGACCTCCAACGGCAAGACAGGTAAACTTCGATTTCTTTTCAAATCGTCAAATCTTTTTTATTTTTTTTTCAGAATGATCGTTTGATTTCATCTATAATTTTATAATGCTTACATTTGTCTCTTCGATGTTTTCAGGTATTTCATTGACTGGGTTGCATCTGATAAAAGGTGTGTTATCCCAGACTGCAATAGCATACCAAGCAAAGTCTTGTCATACGCTGGAAATAAATGACCTCATCAATAAAGGATCTTTTGTCGGCACTAAGAGTCCGGGGATATCTCTAGTTGTTGAGTCAAGTTGCTATGGTAATGCATCTTATCTATAATCAAGTGTTTCTGTGTATAAACTGGTTTTCATTGTTTATATGAAATGTGAATTTTTAGGTCCATATACATGTATAATTAAATTAAGTTTTAAATCAATATTTAGTTATTGAAATAATCATAAGTTATTGAATGATTATAATTTGCAGTCTGACATAAATATTATCAGCATGCATGCACAAAGAAGCATTTGATTGGTGTTTCTGTTGTTTTTTTTATAATTATATAATACTTGTTACACGTAACAAAATTAGGCGATTTTTGTCAAATATGACATTATATAATGATTATGTTGTCTAAACATCAACCCTTCGTTACCGGTAAAGATTTCAATCAACACTTATGTAACCAGATAAAATCCAGGTAAATATATGTATATTACGGATTTTATCATCTAGCTGATAAACGAACGTATTTTTGTAGCATATGACGAATGCCTCTTGTCCCCGTGCAACGGACATGTCTGCACAAATGGACTCGGTGGGTATACTTGTACGTGTCAGGGAGGTTGGTCTGGAACCGATTGCACGACACCACCAGATTTTTGTATCGAAAACGCGTGCCAAAACGCTGCCACGTGTGTGAGCGCAAGCACAAATTACACATGCAATTGTGTACCAGGGTACAGTGGATATTTTTGCGAAATTTCTCCAGGTGAAGTCATTATTGCAGATTTGAAAACAAACAAACTTACCTTTGTAAATCAATGTTCAATGCCATAATCAAGTTGAAAATCATAATCGCGAAAGATAAAGTTTTTTGTTTTATTTAAACGCACATGTTTTCTTTTTATAGTGTCTACCTTTACGAGCATGAACATGTATTCAATTCTGATTATGGTGGAAAGAAATGATATCTCCGGTAACCTTACCTAATTAACATATTGTTTTACAGTAAACGGTGGCTGGTCTGATTGGTCAGAATCTGTGTGTTCTAAAACATGTGGAAGTGGCATTATATACAGAACACGAAAATGTGATAGCCCTACCCCTGATATATATGGTCTTGACTGTATCGGAACTGCAATAGAAATAAAGCCATGTAATACACAACCTTGTCCAGGTAAGTTAATTGAAAAAAGCATAACTTTTCAGCAAAGAATGAAATTTAACTTTTTACATTTTGCCTTAAATACTTTCAGTTTTATAATATACTTCGCATTAACAATAAGCCCAAAGCAATTGAGTACATATCCTTCAGAATTTAACTGCCTAAAGGTAAATGATCATTAAAACAGTCAATTTTTTAAATATATAGTCAATACGGCTCAACTTGACATGAAAAAGAAAACGAAAAGATACTTAAATGTTCGATTTTTTCTAAAATATGTTCTGGTCATAAAATCTTAATTGCCAGTGTTGAAACAAAGTACATGTAATTGGTTCAACGTTGTGCATTACACGAGCTCGAGTCAATACTGTTTTGTTGTTTTGTTTTTCTTTTTTTTAAGACAGGGCATCGAGATAGATTGTAATTTTTTGTACGACAGATAATGCCCTCCGAGCAGGAACAATTGATTTCAACTATTCAAGTCCTTCTTTTTAACTCCTTGTGCCATGAGGTAGCTGAAGTTATGGTATCAGATACCCATGCTCCCTTGTGAACTCATTCTGATGCATTTTGATATATTACGTTTTATACTAAACTCGATTCCAATAAAACTGTCTCTCAACTATGACACGAATACATTTTATATTTAATGACTGTTTTGGGGATTTATTCAATTTACAGTTTGCAAAGAGTTCAATACAGCACTGGGAACGTTATGGGAATGTTATACCGACGACGAAACTGGAAGTCAAACATGTACAGTGGAATGTGAATATGGTAAAATTCTCCCGCCAGGATTGACAGACCTACATTCGTTCACCTGTGGTCCAAGCACCAACTATGAATGGGACAACTTTGAAAATCCTCCCAGCTGTGTCGGTAGGTCGCTTATTTAACAAAAACAATATTTTTCAAATAAAAAAGTAATGATAAAATAAACTTATATTTACATATAATTTGTCGGTGACACATTAAAAAGTTACTGTGACTTTACAGGGTCTCACAATTGCAACATTAAAGTATAAAACACATCTTTGATAAAGCATTTTATGTATATTTCTCTCTAGATCCTAAAAGCCCGATAAAGATAAATATTACTGTGAATGTGACATATACAAAGGAGATTGAAGAAAACGCTATATCCGAATTCAAGGACCATATTAATGACAAAATATCAAAAGTACCCTGTATTGACTCGGCTAATTGTGAGACAGACATAGACATAAACCAGTCGATTATGACGATTGGGTTCAGTATAAATACAACAGAAGGTCAAGACCTACAGTATAATGATTTTATTTCAACAGGAGAACGTAAGTGTACAAAAATGTCTACGTTTAATATTCCATGTAAAAATTCACTGTGGATATACAATATATAAAAAAATCAAACAATATGCAATTTCTTATTTTTGAAATGTATCATTAGTTTATATAAAATAGAATTGTTTTATATGTACAAGGAATAATAATAATGCAAATAAATTTCTCAAATTTTAAGAAGATTTAACACTTATATAATAAAGTCAGGTACATTATAATCTTAAATTACCTATTGTCAGATATAACCTTAATCAATGAGAAAAAATTCGGATAAGTTTATCACTAATAGTGTATCTAAGGTAACAGAAATCTGTGTATATTGAGTTCCACACTATTTTCATTAATAAAAAGTTGCGGATCTATTCGCACATATTGGCATTTTTCTTATGAATTATGTATCGAATTGTTTTAAACAGCAAATGATTCCCTACAAGAGGTTATTAACGCAGTTAAATCTCTCGAACAAACTGGTAGGTTTATTCAAAATCATACTGACGAGCTGTTTGACGTCACGGTCAATAATACGAGGTACACCATTACGGATGAGAATCCAATAATTTACGCTGGCGTATCATGCATTGCTGGGTTCGTGGCTATCGATGGAATTTGTGGTATGAATAAATGTTTGTTCATTCAATTCTTTGCAGACCATGATGAATGTTATGCAGAATATAGAGTTTCATGTAATTTTTTAGTAAACAAACAACAATTTTTTTTTTTCTTTTTTTGCATTTCTGCAAAGAATGTTCAATGTTCATACAATTAATCCTTGCATACGTACATGTCAACTTAGTTTTAAATATTGATGAATGTAGTGTATTACATATCCATATGTAGTCATATTGCATGAAAGATGTTTAATATTCCAATGATTTTATTGTTTTGTGGAACTCTTGAATTATATGTACTGACAGGTGATTAATAACAAAATTGTGTGACCATGAAAATAATTTATTGTTATAGAGGTTTGTTCTAATAATATGTGTTTATTAGTTTCTGTTTAGAAAAACTAATGATACATTCATTGCAGTTGAATGTCCTGCAGGCACGTATTCTTTCGGTGAAAAGTGTTCGTTTTGTCAACGGGGGAAATACCAACCAAATACGGGACAGTCGACTTGCATTTCATGCCCACCTTATCGGACAACGGATGCAATAGGATCAACTGATAGTTCTCAGTGCAAATGTAATGTTTAGCTTTCTTAAAGAACAAATGCTTACATTCACTCAGTTTGATTTTCAATTTTAATTTTTTTTTTCAAAAGATTTTGGCTTTATATTTCAATTGAAATGCCTAAACTCTTTCATGCTTCTCAAGCTTAAAACATTTGTAAAATAATAATAAGTCCTATTGAATTGCCTTTTTCAAAAGAATAACATAGATGACGTGTTTGCATCAAAAGTTAATCATTATTTAAGTTAACCAGAAAGCACAAAATGAATAATATACAAGCGGGTCTTGCACAGTTTCTCTGATATGGTTTAAATTCTTCAGTGGCTCTATGCAAGCCAACGAATTTTTCTGTTAAGCACATTGACACATTCTGTAACATTTTTTACCAAATCCAATGCAAAATAAAAGACTAGTGAATAGCACTAAAGAATGGTTCTGGAATTATTTTCGTCCAGAAAGCATTTTCTAGAGCCACAAGCAAGTTTTTTCTAGGGAAATTGAAATTGAAAGAAGATTTAGGGACTCGGGTGAGGCTAAAATGTGGATGGTTAACCAAAAATGTTTTCAGGGCCCTAGTCGTAGAACAATGTATGATAATGATTCAGTTAGAAAATGAACAATTACAAAAAACTAGTGTCTGCCTAGGTAAATAAAAAAAGGTAAGCACTATACATTATAACATATATTGTTAATAAATTTGATTTTTTTAAGCATATGACGCATGTTTGGTGTCTCCATGTAACGGGCATGTCTGTACAAATGGACAGGACGGATATACATGTACATGTGACAATGGCTGGTCTGGAACAAACTGTGACACACCGCCTGATCGTTGTATTAACAATGCTTGTGTAAATGGTGCAACATGTATAAGTATGTCAACAAATTACATGTGTGAATGCACACCTGGTTATAGCGGACAATTTTGTGAAATTTCTCCAGGTATGTGTACGAATATAAAATAAGTTGTTTACTCCTACTATATAAGTCTTTAAGCTATTCCTTCCTACTTTGTTTATCAGTTTGACAACAATAGAATTATGTTTGGATTAGAATCATTGTTACAAGTCTCCCTAAAGGTAAAAAATAGTTAATCACATCGCTACAGACATTAAGATTTCAACTTAAATAAGTTATCCAAACAAAATCTTTACTATTGATATATTCATGTAATTGTTCAAAGTTACAAAGGACTTCGAGTAAATGAAATTCATTTTAATAATTACATCGTAAAAGGTTTTTCATACATAATCTGTACCGTTAACAACTAAAGATTAAGCAATTAAACTACACTTTTTAAGTACTATTTTAACAGAGATGAAAATTGAAAAAAAAAGTGTTTTATATTTTCCTTTACCATGGTTCTATCAGTAGGTTAAGTGTATGTTGACGAATGTTCATTGTTTGTAGTTGATGGTTGCTGGTCAGAATGGTCAGAAACAAAATGTACCAAAACTTGTGGAACGGGTGTTATAACAAGAACACGAAGGTGCGACAATCCTGTTCCAGATACCCATGGAGCTGACTGTGTTGGTGAAGCAAAAGAGTCAATAGCGTGTAATATTCAAGACTGTCCAGGTGAGATTGTTGAGGAAATATTCTATTAGACTTTGTATTGCCAAAAGGATATCAAAGTATCACGAAAGATATGAAAATTCGACAGGGTGAAAATATAACAAAATCTAGTTAAAAACATCTGATAAAAGGGGGATCACTCAAGAGCAGTAAGCAGAATATTAAAGTAAAATGTAGTCTACAGAAATAATGTTTAAATAATTCATATACTCAAGTACTTCAGCAAATGTTTTAATAGAAATGTTTTAATTGTGTTGATTGGTTGGTTGGTTTTTACCTCACTTGAGCACAACGTCCTCAGAGTCAGCTACAGCTATTGTGATACCCATGTGTTCGGCGTCCCTCGTCCGGCATATGTCGTCGGTCGTTAGCATTATTACTTAAACAACATTTTCTCCTGAATCCCAACGTCTATAGTAATGAAACTATACAGAAAGATGCTTGGATAGTCCCCTCCAACAATTGATCAAATAAATTTGGTCTGTTGAACAAGACAGCCACCAGAGCTAAAAATTGGAAAAAAACCTTTAAACGACATTTCTTCCTTTACTATTAGCAATCTTGTTCATTAGAAACATATAATCAGGCGAGTAATTAAAGGCCATCATGGCCTTATATTTATAATTAATAAAAGCAGTTTTGAAGATTGGCAAAATTTTGCATAAATTGCTTGTAAAAATAAAGACTTGTGTACATGTTTTCAGTGCTATACGTGTACATATGATATATTTATCGTTTAATAGATTTATAAATATTCAAGATACTAAAAAATATATAACTATTTATTTCTATTGTTTTGCAAATATGCTAATATTGATCTACTTATGTATCAATTTAGTGAGTTAATATACATATGTACTTTAATATCGTAGAGATATATGTGACTCAACCTCAATGGTGAGAGTAATTCTTATTCTTTTTCTACTCTAAAGTGCATGGAGGTTGGTCAGAATGGTCAGAAACAAAATGTTCCAAAACTTGTGGAACGGGTGTTATAACAAGAACACGGAAATGTGACAACCCTGTTCCAGATTCCCATGGAGCTGACTGTGTTGGTAGAGCTATAGAGACAATAGCTTGTAATATTCAAGAATGCCCAGGTAAGATTGTTGAGGAAATATTTCATTTGATTATGTGTAGACAAAAGAAAATTAAAGTATCACAAAAGATTAAAAAAAATTTGAAAGGATGAAAATTTCCCAAATCTAATTAAAAACATCTTGAAAAGGATTGATTTCTAAAAATACTAAGTAGTTAGCCATTTTATCATCAGTTTGTTAATTGTTTGTTTAAGAATGTTAATTGGTTGATTGTAGTAAATGGTGGTTGGTCAGAATGGTCAGAAACAAAATGTTCCAAAACTTGTGGAACGGGTGTTATAACAAGAACACGAAAATGCAACAATCCAGTTCCACACACAAATGGTGCTGACTGTGTGGGTGAAGCAATGGAGACAATCACTTGTAATATTCAAGACTGCATAGGTAGGAATCATATTTCGTAGGCTAAGAGTTGTTAAACAGCTTATAATTTTATACATCACATATACTCTCTATAAGTTCGAATATGAAATATTATGTATATTTTATTAAAGGTATTTTATGTTATAAGTATCTTGACATATTTTTACACAAAACTGACACATAATGAAGTCATATCGAATAAAAATACTTAAAATATTTATTTTACAGGCACAATATTAACTTTCATTGCGATGAATATATTTAGCCATAAACTGTTTGAAGATAATAACATGATAGCTCATGGCCTCGCACGTTATTGCAAATGTACGCCTCCTAAACTAGTTGTTAGGTGATTTTTTTTTCTGTATTCAGTACCTAGTTGATATCTGTAGAGTAATTCAATAATTCTTTACGTGAAAGAGCACGATTGTATTGGAATTTATTTTCATAGCATTATATTTATTTTCATGAAAATTACGACAATTAACGATTTTACTGATATTGTAATAGTATTTTGCATCACCAGTAAAACCATCAGAAAAACCGTATTTTGTCTCTGTTGCTTTCTACACAGACAGTTTTGGCTCATTCGGTACAACTTTCAAACTGTTTTCGTGTTTAATGGCATACCAAAACCAAACAAGATATGTAGATATATGAATCAGTTATTAAAAATATTCAAACAAAGGTCTCAAAAATATATTGCAATGTCATAAATAATTTTCATAGATTTTACCTGAAAGGTATTTTAACATCAAATAGTGGATATGGTAAAGAAATAATAATTTTGTAACATGTAACATTAGCCTGATTGAAACAAATGTATATACCCATGTGACCAGTGAAGACTATGATAAGCATGCATGTCCGTACCGAATGATCTAGTTTATGATGTTTGTCATTCAGTCAGTACATTTTGTTTAAAGATTCCTGAAACATGACAAATTGTCTCGTCCAAAGTAAAGGATGGACAAGTCCATTTTAGATACTTATATCATATGCATTATAGTAGACATAGAATAAGATATGTGTACACAAATTGAGTTTGCAAAACATTTGTTTTAAAATTGCTTTAATGTTAAGAAGACTATCATTAGGTTCCGAAGCCTAATCGGAAGTATTGTATCATTTAATATTCTAGAAACAAGCACAGTGTCCAACACGACGAGGCAAACAACAACACAAAGGGAAGGAAAACCTATTCCAGGTAATCAAGTACCAGATCCCTAATGTATTCTTTGTTTGTATTTCTGGTATTATTAAAAAGAGACTTCGAACGTGCACGCTTAATAAAGAGATTTCTTAGATCGTAACATGTCATCTACTGTTAAATATCATCACAATTTTGTAGAAATAAAACATATATTCATAAATAATTTTAATGAAAAGTAATATAAAAATCGTTCGGAATAAAGGTTTCCTCATGTTCTTCATTCTTGTTACTGGTCCGTTTCCTCGTGTTCTTCATTCTGCGTACGAGTCCGTCTATATATTTTTGTTTTCATATTGGTAAGCGTTACTTTGCCATAAATGCTGTTGATCATCCTGTCATTGGCATATTATTGTCACATGAACTGTTTCCCATTTTAGACACATAAGGATAAATAGCTCGATGACAGTCAAAATTGATATTGACCCAACGAAAGTTATGAAAACGAAAAAGATCATCTGAAAATTACAAACTAAGTCTGATTGTGTCTGGTCATTGAAGATAGTATAAAAGGCTATTAAGCGTTGTTTCATCTTTAACACAAACACTCTGGAAAAAATATTGGAATCAAATGAACAATTAAATAGAATTTTTAAATGTAGGATTCTATAAAGTGGGAGACTGCATGCATTAAGACACCTTTATATGCGAATTACGTTTCAAAAGATTTTATAAGTAAAACATTATTTCAATGTATATAATCAATAACATTGACCCATTAATCTTCGCTTAGAACCTTCAACTTTTTAAATGTTCCCGTAATTGGCATTCTATAGGGAATTCGTTCTTTTTTGTAGTTGATGAGAAGCCAGTGACGTTATTAATTGTAGGACCTGTGGTTGCTATAATTGCAATTGCTCTTCCAGTAACTCTCGTCCTTTGCAGGCGGTTACGGTAATACCTCCGTTTTCTTTTTTTTTCTTTTTACGTCTGGTGCAGGGCGGTGTTTGCTTTTATAACCAAACAATTGAAAGATATGAACACGTGTCATTTTTTGTTATGAGAGGAGTTGATGTATTCATTTATTCATTTAATTGTGTCATTTGTGTTCTTTAAAGCAAACTAGGAGACTATAGTCTGCCAACGTTTATGCCAAAACTTAAAATGTTCAAATAAAGCATGCGTATGAAGGAACTGTACCACATTGCCCGGTCCCATGGCATTCTGAATCACTACACAGGATCCATCTTCACCCTATCGTCTGCTAAAAGTTTATTTTTAGGTAAAATTTATAGATCCATATTCTGACCTTTTATTTTAATAACAACAGATCTAAACACAAACATCGATATGTGCTCTTTTGTAAAAAAAAATACGTTGTGGTAAAATTCTTATTGAAATGGTAATTTAAATTAAGTGTCATATAGGAATATGTTAATGACAGTAACACGTATTTTTATCTTTCAGACATAACACGCGACAAGAAAAATCAACTGAACCTCCTAAAAATGTTTTTACATCGTCTTTAGATTCGGAAATTGAAAAAAGCTCTGAAGAATGTTGATGTAAATGAGGATCTGACTACATTTTCATATATTACGTACAATTGAATCAATAAAATGCGGCATTTCTCACTATCAAACTATCTATAAATGAAAATAGAATTGGAAGCTAACATAAATCTATATTTCTATAGACATTAAGAATGTAAGGTTCATATAACTGTATATAATATAAAACATAAACTATTGGCTGACATGAAACTACATTATAAACATTTTTATGATGATAATTGTTATATTTGTTATTGTTATTATTTTTCATAATTGCTATCGTTATTTTCTTTTGTATTGTAAATATATTGTTTAACTTATATATATATAAAGTTGTATGTGTTATGCACTGTATTGTAGTTTGATAGAAGTCATAATATGCAGGACTCAGTCGTTTAAACGAACTTTAACAGCAGTTGGATAGTTTGTTAGGAAACATTGTATTCTGTTTTTATACAATTTATTACCGTTAATTCTAACACGACCCACATTTTTCCCTATTGAAAATAGAAGTACCGAAAGTGTGTGTTATTATGCTATAAAATCACTGTTTGACGTTCTATATTTAGACATGTGACGTAATCATTATACACGTGACGTAACCACTAAAAATGTGACGCGCTGACAATAAGTACGGAAACAGATCAGACGCAATTTAGCTAATTATCATGTACGACAGCATTTATTTGTTGATGTCGTGTTAGAATCGAAATAATATATCCAAAACGATGATTTTATTGCTTAATAACATCACTGTTTGTCGTTCGGATGCGCATCATTATATCACTCGGGCTACGCCCTCGTGATATAATTCCCCGCATCCGAACTCCAAACAGTGGTGTTATTGAGCAATAAGATCACAGTTTGGGATATATTATTTCTTAAATATAAACATGCACAAAATATGAAACAATGTGACAAATTTGAAATTCAATTAATTATTATGTCTGTCTGGTTTATTTACGCTTAAATTATATTCATTCATGTACAATTGTGTTTGGTTGTATCTTTATATAAAAGAGTTGTTTGGTACATATATAACCCTTGCACATCATACAAACTCTATTACAGTAATTTTGAAAATACTCTATTTGAAAAGAGAATGACTATTTATATCTGATCATTTGTATTCATTTTTTATTTTATTTTCAACGTTTAATAATTGTTATTTTTCATTGACTGTTTAAATCTTATCATGTCATTTATGCATAATTATTTCTTTACTGGACTAGGTTACTTCGCTTTTGGTACCAAGAGAGATTTTCTTTGAAGTTCATTCAATATAATACAAAGTAAATTAACTATGTGAAATAAGAAAATATTTGTTTTTGGAAAGCTTGCAATGAACGTATAACATACATATAAGATGTATTTCAAAAAGTTGACCATCTTATAACTATGTCCCGATATACATTGACTAAACCAAGTGTGGTAATTCTGCTCGTGACTTGGACATTTGAAGAATGACATCGCAGATTACACAGATAACATCCACAATGCAACGTTTGTTTATGGGTACAAGGGAAATGATCTTTGTTCAATTTTTGCGTCATTTTATCACTTGATACGATTATATCTTAATAGATTTTGCCAATATACATATTCATTCCTCGTTTCTTTTTAATATTTGTTTGTAATATTAACTGGAATTGTGCAAGGGAAGAACTTTTACAAATGTGAATTGCAACCAAACTGTTTTCAATTGTAAGCGTTTGAAGAAATTTTGACACACTTACATGGGCGACGAACAAAGGGTTTTAGTATTTTCAGAAAATGTTTGACTAAAAGTCATTTTTACATAGCAAAACATTACCAATTAACATGTATGATTGTTTATAATCAGTGGACCAATTATTGATCGGACAATTTCTTTACAAAACTACCTCAAATTATGTGAGAATTTGTGTAATTTTGAGCGATTGGTCACATTTCTACCTGCATTTACTTTGATGCAAGAGCAGTTTGCCAAAATCAAAGCAGTTTTATTTTGATGATGTACATTGCCTGGAACAATTTCAATCGATCACAGAGTTAAGATATTGTCATAATGTTTAGATAAAGGTATAAATACTCACCCTATTTATTAGAATAATTTGAATTGTTATTGACCTTCGGTTCTGGCATTATCATCTGATGCTCTACATATATATATATATCTATCGTCAATATAGCAGTAATAAATCGTATTGATGTGTTCAACTCTAAGGGATAACAACTATGTAGGCATACTTTTTAAGTGTTACGCATGCACCAACACAGTAGAAGTCAGGTGGGGACTTTTTAGCTTTAGTAGTGGAGTAGTTCTCCTCCTTGCATTTTTATTTCTAGGACAGGCACCTAGAAGTAGAACCACCGACGTTCCATATGCTAAGCGAATCTACTTAAGTGTCTTAAAGTTTTGCACAGAACAGCGTTATTGTAAGGAACTTATATATGGAATAATTTGTAATATCATAAAAAACATTTTCGTGAAATAGTGACATGGACCATTTAACTAATAAAAGACAACAACTTAAGAGGCTTAGATTCAAGGCATTTTCTTAGTACCTTATTAATAGGACCATTAATACGAGCATTTATCAACAGTTCAATACTGCTGAAAGGCTTTGTCAATATCTTCCTTCATGTCTCGGAATACACGCCTCCTAGCAATATGTGTTGTGAATCTCTCCAATCTATGTACATTTTGCGTTCTCGACATTTTAACTGCCGCTGGCGAAAAGGTGCACCGATTATTTTTCCACAGATTTTCAGTCACCTCATTACATGACAGTAATATTCTGTCATCGTCTGAGTCGTTTCTTTGGTCGTTATCAATTACGTTTATATCCGAATCACTTATGGCATCAAATTCACTTTCATCCGTGTCCGTGTTTTTTTTTTCATGTCCCAACATGTTCTTGTCTTTCGAATGTTATCACAAAGCTAGGAAACGTGAATATGTTCGCTAGTTATCGGGGAATGCGCAGGTTTATTTTTCGTTCCACAACTTTCAAGGGAAGAATCTTCCAACTCACCCTTTCCGTAGGAGTGACATAGAAGCTCCTTCTCGCACCATAAAAAGGCAAGAAATTGCGCGCGCTTCATGTCAGATTCACCGCTGATTAAGCTACATCTAGCAACGTATTCTTACAACTCCATAAAACGTTTAAGGTGAATAACTCACATACAATTGACTTTATATAGATCTTCCTCATTTCAAAGTTAATCACTTACTGGGTTTGCTGCTTTCATCTCAATGTATGCTTTTGTAGATAGGTTTCCATGGCCCTGAGGTTAAGGTCGTCGACTTCAAATAACTTTCATATAACCATTGTTTGACACATAAGAAGTACTTTTAGTTAAGTGTATTTTGCTGTTCTCTATATCATTTTGTCACATGGTGGAAACGAATTAAAGAAATCCCCCACACATCTTTTAAAGCAGCATGTCTCCAGACTCATGCTTATTTTCATGAAAATTCTAAAAATGTATTTAAAAATAAAATATTGTGACTTAAACAAAGAAAGTAATTTACGTATTGCAAATGACACTTATAATCCATGTTAATTACCACAAAGATGTCAAAATATGCCAAAAAGCCACTGCTGCAATAGTCACACAGTAGACATATGATGATATATACTAAAATCAGTCATAAATCATACATAACATGTAAACAATTACTTGGATCTTGAATCTTTTTACTTTTCTTAAAATTTCAGTTCATTTTTCTCAAGTTTGATTTTCTTGAAATATTTTAGTTCATCTGGAGGCATGTAGCTTTAATACTAAGATACAAGAAAACAAGTGCGTAGGTGTATGACGCCTGTTTAAAATATAAATTTCCCAATAAAATATAAAAAATGTCAACAAGGAAGGGCGACATTAATAGAACGAATCCACCGTGCATATCTAGTAACGCAGGAATGTGCAAGTAACGACAAATCTGTGCCAAAACGAATAACAAAAATAAATAAACAAACCAAAATATTTTATTCTAAATCAAATTTACAGAAATGAATTAGCGCATACGGCTGCTAAGACATTATACTTTAACCACCAGGAATATTTTTTAAATCATTCATGAGAAAGACAACCTGATAACCGTTTCGAAGGTGACTTTTGTTTTTGTCAAATAAAGATGTACATTTCACACATTTTAACGTTTATTTTTTTTTCATATTCTATATACCTTAGACATTTGTCAAACTACAAGTGTCGTATAACAACAACAGGAAGCTGGTAAAATAGGATTTAGCTACTTTTAATGAGATAACTGCCGTTGCTTCAGTGCTTCATTCACGAAATCGGCGTAACCTCGTAAATTGGTCTCCATTAAATTTTATCTGCTAAATTAAGTATAACATGACGTGAGTAGATTGGGAAATGTCTCAGGTACACCGAATACAAAAAATCTTAAAGTAATATGTATGTTATTGTCTTTAACGATATCAACGAAATTAGAAGTTGCCATAAATACGCTAGTAAGCGAATGATCTTGAAAAATAAACATTTTCATGGAAATATATTTGATGCGGTTTAAAGTATTATGTTTCAGCAACCGTATGCGCTACTTCATTTGTTCCTATTTGGTGTACAATAAAAACTATTGGTCCATTTATTTATCGAAGTGCTCGTTTTAGCCACTAAATTGCACAATCTGCATTACTTTTGTACAATTCCTGCATTATTTGCATATTCCTACGTTACTGCAATCAATCTGTGATATTTATTTCTATGTAGGGAGTAGTGCAAACTCATTAAACTATTATTCACTCGCATAAATCACAAAACCATACCCGTTTGAAGACAATAAATGAACTTGTTATCTGAAAATTGTTTTATTCCTTGTAAGGTACACTTTGAAATAATTAGTTATGTTTCGCTTTTTAAACATGAAAAATATACTTAACATATTTTTCATCGTGTCGCAGTTTATCTAAAACAATAAGTATTTGGTTCCCTGTGTTTTTTCCAAAGCAAAATTTAATTTTTTTAATCTAAAAAAAAAACCCCAACCCCAAATATAAAAAAAACTTTGTAGTTTTTTGGGGAATTTTTTTGGTTTAAATTTTTTTGAAAGATAAGTCAATTGAAGTGTCATTTCCCACTGGGGTTTTTATTCCTTGATGAAAAAAATAAATTTATAACAAAAGAAGGCCTTTTTTCAAAAATAAAAGATTAAATTTACCGGGAAGATTCACAATCAAAATGCACGTAATAACTTAAGTAACTGCACCGACGAAAACACATATTCCATTTCACCTGAATTTGCAAACTTGATAACTGATCGGGAAAGAGTATATCTACTTACAATTATTTTACTAAAACAAAAACCTCTGGCAATCGTGTTTGGTTCTTTGTTTAGGTATTCGTGGTCCCGGTGTTTTTTTTTATTGTGTACCAGAGAACCTTTTCCTGAAGCATTTGAAGTTTTGTTTTACGAATTTGAAGTATTTTAGTAATATTGAGATCATGTAGAACACCCGCTCGTAAACTTGTATAAAACAAACAAAAGGATATCTAAGGGTATAGAAAACAAAACGAGACGAGTTTTTTGTAAAATGCATTTAGTGTCTTATTAATGTAAACTAATTAAATGTCTATGGAATTAACGAGAAGTAGCATGAAGTTATATATCTACAACTGAAAATTACAAATTCAAAGTTTACAAGTTTATAAGTATAACAGAAATATTTTGTTTTGGCGCCTACACTCAATCATTGCTAAAAGATTTAACTTCACTTCAAATACCAACCTAATATTTGTTCCGGAATATTTTGTTATGGTAACGTACAATATCCATGTGTGTTAAGTAACAGCGACATTCAGTGTTACAATTCTTTCAAGAATCGAGAGTAAAATTATGGAAACAATATTACTCTACCGTTGATAAACTTATAGAAATATTTCATTAGATATAGCTTCATATGACAAGATGACAATTATTTTATTTAACAATTATCAGAAGTAACTGGACTGCTAAGTCTCATATTTCGAAACAAACTTGATTGTATACATGTATAATGGAATCATTTACTAGTACTGTTCCTAAATGTATAATGTATGGAGATGAAAACACAACAGTTATTAATAAACAAAATATATATAACACAGTAAAATATCATACTAAGTCGGCACATTTGCAATAGACTAATAACTAAAACACATTATAAAACAGGACAAGGGAGTCTCTTTGTAAACGATATAAAATAATTCTAGTACTACTACTACTAACAATAATAATAATCCTGGGTGTATGTGTTGAGGGTAATCTTCTTTGAAGTCATTTTGCGACAAACCTTATATAACATGATTTATGTGTAAAATATTTCATTCTCCTAGACAAATCACACCTCCATGATGAAAACTAAATTTTAACCATGAGGGTCCGTTATCTATTATTGTTTACTTTTCACTTATATTGTTAACCTTACTTTTCTATTTGATTGTTTACTGTTTTTCTTTAATTGTTTACTTTTCTCTCTTTAATTGTTTACTGATTGTCTTTAATTTTTTAGTTTTTCCCAGGGAGACTGTCGTTAATAACGGCATATGTGTTGTCAAAACATGTCAAATCTTTTTCTGTATATACTGGCAAATCTGCTTCGTAAGGCGGAGGGCTTTGACAATCTATTCTTATGCTATTAGCAGACGCCACTCTGACATGTGGTCCAGGCGTCCGACAGCTGTCACTACCTCTCTGATAGTCGTTTGGATCAAATTGTGACATTGCTGTAACCGTTCGAGTTGGTGAAGCGGGCCACCCGCGGCCACTTCTTGTAAACCTTGTTCGACATGATTCGGCTCTTAGATTTTCGGTTGAGCAATTAATCGATGTCTTTGGTCTGCCAAGAAAATAAATAAAAACAAAATAAAAAGATTTAGACAAAGCTGATATTAATGTTAATTTTTGAGTCTCACTTTCTTTATTACTTCAGTTAATTACAGCAATTCCTAAAATCAGAAACCTTTCTAAAGCATTATTTGACAAAGACAAAAGCTCCCTGGAGTTTTTTTCCATAAAATTAAGTGAGTGTCTTTCTTTTTCAGTACATGTTCACGGCTTTAGAAATGACGCTCAAATACAAATTTATTGGGGATAGAGGCAGGGTTAATATATTAGATCTCATCAATATGTTTTATATACCTGAATTTCTTGTACCAAACCATCACTATCGCAAATAATGCAATAACTAGTGCTGTCACAGAAATTGCGATTGCTATCGTCACGGTATTGTTATTATCATCATCTGAAATAGAGATTACAATTAATTTATAATTAAAGGAAAAACCAGGTTATAATTAACATTTTACTGCTTTCAAAACGAGAGTAATTCTTGTTAAAAGTTTTCTATATTTTCGTTTCAATTTGAATTGTGTTGATTCGGAGCATTTTAGATTTACCAGTTCAAAAATCATGTTTTTTTATTGTTTTTTTTTGCATATGAAATTGCGAATGTAAACCACCGAATGTGATTTGTTCTGAAACAGATCAGATTAAACAGCATAGTGCTAAACTGAAACAAATGTAAGATTTTTGGCGGATATAGCAACATTTCTATTAGTTCTTTGATTCTTTGAACTATTGTATTACTTTCATATTCTTAACGGAATAAAGTGACACAGAAGTAAAGTCGCACGTTCTATAGAAAACGAAACAAACTGCGAAGAAATAAATTATGAGCAAACGTCTGCCCTAACGGTCTTCAAATTTATAGGACATTCTGGGCAAATAGCATCTCAAAAAATATGAGGTGACATATGTCCGCAACCGCAGAATAAGGGGATAAATGTTTGATGAAAGCTAATGTCCAAAGAGGCAAATGTCTTTGTTTCAAACTAATATGAACTGCATAAATATATCTGGTTTAATGAATGTGACACACATTTGTTACAGCTCACATCTATACAGAATTTGGGTACAGTACTCACCGTCACGAGGGCGTTTGCCAGAAGGCGGCTTCTTTGTTGATGTTGATTCTATATTTATCAAGTAAACATAATTATGTCGGTTAAAATCAATAAAAATGATAAAAAGAAATTTCAAGCTCGCTCGACAATTGTTAGATATATTATTTTGTACAAACTTATTACATGTACAAGAATGTGTAATAAAGCCAAGGATATGCCCTCTTTTTTAAATGTTTTTAATAAATAAGCTTAGTTTGCGGTATGTTCACTACCACATTTGACAAAACAAATAATTTCTGAAGCAAAACTCTAAAATTTTGTTTATAACTAAGAATTATACGTGTAAACACTTCTTAAAAATGTTCTTTTCAGTTAAAAAAGCTACAATTATTAATAAGCCCCAGAACAAAGTTATCAGAGAAAATTAATGTTGTTTTACTCCTTTAAAGAATCTTAATTTTATTGTAAGATATATTACCTATTATACATTGAGAGCTATCCTTTGAGCCTATAGCATTTGTCGTCTGCCCATCCGGACATGATATACATGTCGTCTGTCCAGCGTTCGACTGATATTTTCCCTTCTCACAAAATGCACACACGTCATCTATGGAGCGCGTGCCTGCCGGACATGCAACTACAAGATCATATAAATGTTATTGGAATGTCCAAAGTGATTGAAATACGCAAACGAATGCATATTTTTGAATCGAAATGTTATAAAAGTTTTAAATATTTTTTAAAATGTTTCTTTCAGAGTTTTCAAATTAAAGGGAAATAGAAAATATAATCATGAAATTTGTAATAAAACAAATGCAGTTCGCCATGTATATTTAAAATTTTACACTCCTATTGAGTGGTTATTTACCACAAATGCCGTCATAATCAACAAATCCGCTATCGCACGTGACTCCAGCATCAATTGTTACACTGTCGTCTACAACTGTGTACGTCACGCCGTCAGTGGTGACGTCAAACAACTCATTCGTATTATTTTGAATGTATTCGGCAGTTTGTTCCAAAAGATTGATTGCGTCTATAACCTCTTGTAGAGCACCATTTGCTATTTAATATATGAAAATAATTGAAAGTTTTAAATGAAAAAAAATCCGTACAAAAGCATGTTATGTAAATACAGTGTTCATTTAAGATTATCTCTTTTCAATATAAATGCATGTTTAATATTTCTATATAATGTGAAAAAATCTTGAAAAGATTTTCATAAATATGAAAGACAGCCTATCTAATTAAAGTGCTTTTATGCCATGTCTTATTGTGTAATAAAAGAATTTTTAACTTTGAATATAATTTTGATTTTAGTGATATTTTTCCTATGTTTAGGCAGAAAATGCAACACGTTATTCGATAAATTTTGAAATATTTCACGTCATCAGGAAACTTCCGTAATATTTCAAGTCATCCGGCAACTTTCAGATTATTTCAAGTTATCCGGTATTTTATCAATCTTTAAATGCTATACAACTCAGTCACCACAGGGTTCCCTTTCGAAATATGTAACGACGTGAAAAATGTAACGACATGCAAAACATTATTTGTTATACCAATTCAAATTCTTGTCAAAAAAAAAAGCCCTGGTCCGGGAATAGACATAAAACAGACCAAAATATAAAACTTACGTATTCCACTCGATATGTAGTCGCTATAATCAAGGTCTGGTCCCTGGGATGTAGGAATATTAAACACAATCGTCAAGGTAGACTGATCTATTTCTATATTCGTCTGACAGTTAGCAGAATCAAAGCACTGCAGGCCTGATGTTTGGTTTTTTATTAAGTCAATAAAATCTGACGCAATACTGGTGGGAATATCTGTGGCATACTCTACAGATATGGTTATGCTAACATTCCCTGGACCGACAGGATCTAGAAATAAAAGAAAATATAAATGGTAATAAGTAGGCATGCGGTGCAGCGGCTGAACTGTGCTTTGCTAGATAAGTGAAAGCGTCAACGCAAATAATCTAAACAACGCGTGTCATATGTTTCTTAAATTAATTTGCTTTTGCTCTTTAAACAATGTGCTGTTATTATAATATATATTTTTTGTAAACGATCTACATGTATACATGTATTTTATTATGGTGAAGTACGAAATTCAAATATTTGCAGCAATAAAAATGTGCCTTTACCGTAATACATGAAGTATTTTTAATCGATCATAGGCAATTTATATCACAATATTATCTTATTATAATAATGTTTCACGGTATGTTACTTTTTAAAATACTAGCAACTAACCGACACAGCTGGGAGTATTTTCCAAATAATCCCATTCGTAGTTGGTGCTTGGACCACAGCTGTATGACTGTCCACCATCTAAACCGGGTGGAAGTACTTTACCATCCTCGCAATATACTGTACATGTCTCATCACCGAATGTTCCGTTTGTAGAACAGTTGAACAAGGTCCCGGATGCGCTCGTGAGTTGTTCACAAACTGTGGTTTAGAAACAGCAATTGAAACATAAATCATGTAAATAAAGGAAAAAAGATCTTTTGTATTTAAAATTCGAAGGTATCTGCATCGTAGTTTACCTATTTGACTTTGTTCTAAAAACCTCTAAAAGTAGTTTAATCATACATGTAGTAATAAAGATATCTTAAAACGGTGATGTAGGGCGTCCATAGTCGAGTGGCTCAAACCAAACTGAAACCTCCACCAGTAAAGAATGGCTGCAACAGTGTTTCCATCAACACATTAAAAAGGAGAAAATGTGGTATCGTGTATACAGGGACGTTTCTTATTTTCTAATATTTTTCAACGAGTTCAGGACAATGTTATAGGGTATTTCTGTCGCAAGCTTTAGTACAAAATAGATACATAAATCTATAAAAAAAAACAAATGTAAGATTCTTTTTATAACTTTATGTATAAAGTCAGCGATGTCATGTGACATTACTATAGATTGAAAGCTTTTATATTAACCATTTGTATACGAATAACGTATCGCAGGCCATCAAGTAGGCTAGCACTCACCCTTAAACTTAAAAAAAATAAGAAAAAAAGACATATATTTTTCATTTCACAAAAACAAAATCTTTATATTTAGACATGCAAAAGATTCAGATACAAATCTCACCAGGACAAGCATCTGTATTACAAGCTATTGTTTCTGTAGCGTCACCAACGCAATCAGCACCGTGTGTATCTGGGACGGGGCTGTTACATTGTCGGGTTCTAGTCAAACTACCAGTTCCACAACTCTTTGAACATGCTGAATCGGTCCAGTCTGACCAACCGCCATCCACTGCAGAAAATGAGGGGAAAAATCTATATCAAAACAGCTTTTTTCTCTCTAACTATGCATACTCTTTAAAGGTACAGTAAGTATCGGAAATTATTATCTTTATTCCTGTCAAACATGTGTTTTATAATGCTTTAACAAGACTTAGAACATTTGAGATGCTTATCTGACCAAAACAGCAGTCAATATGACACATGTTGTGACAAAAGTATTATAATGTAAACAAAGTGGCATTTTGATTTCAAAACAAAATAATCAGTCACCGTCTTAATAGCTTAGTGTACTATAAATGAAAAACAAACAAAAAATGACCTAGTTATTCGGCAAAAGAGTTAAAAATTTGGATAGTGGAACAATTCATCCAAGAGATAATTAATAATATTTTAAGTAAAATTGATATTTTTGCGCAGATTAATCGGGCCTTAAAGTAATGCAATACACGTTGAATTACTGTATCAGACTAAGATTTTATCTATTCATTTATTATCACAATAAAACAATTAACGGATAAATTAACTTTTATTTCATAAAAACTTACATGGTGAAACTTCACAAAACGGACCACTGTATCCAGTAGCACAACTGCACGTGTAATTGGTAGTTCCACTTATACACGTTGCACCATTTTCACATGCGTTGCCATTACAACTATCCGGTGGTGTCGTACAATTAGTCCCAGACCAACCGCCATCACAAGTACAGATATAATTGTCTTGGACACTGGTACAGTTATGTCCGTTACATGGTGAAGACACGCACTCCTCAAATACTAGGGGGAAAATAGAAAACGATTTTTGACATAATGAAGGTGAGAAACCAAAGAAATCCTTGAAAGGTTACATCCCTTGATTACAATGATGATAATACATGAAACTTTACATTCTATGGAAAGCCCCAGTACTGTGCCTTTCCATAACTGCGGCTTTCCATAATTTGCTGATACCATTGTGTAATTCTAAACAAGTGTATCTTAAATACATCGCATGTGGTATATTATGTAGTATGTGCTCGTATATTAATTATATAGTATTAGTTTATTGACTATGAAATGTCTGGTATATTGACTTTGTAGTACATGGTACGTTCACTGTCTAGTATTTTCTATAATGATTACATTGTTTCTAGTATATTGACTATATACATGTAGTATTTAATATATAAACTATATAGAATTTGTCTTAAAGTTTGCCGAGGACAGGAGATCGTGTAAAATGTAGACATAAAAACAGATTAAAATGGTATAATAGAGATAAAAGAAAAAATATCAAGGGCTGAAATTCTTACTTTTGCAATCATCAGCAGACGAACTGTTTGTTGATGCAGTTGTTGTACCGGTAGGACATTGTTTACATGTCGTCTGTCCATACTCATCTTGATAGTAACCAAGGGGACACGTGTTACATATCTCAACCGTACTTGCAGAATATGTTCCCGGACTACATAGTTCTGAAGAAAATAGAATCCAGTTGTTATTAAAAAATGCAATATAAGAGGTGCACTTTAATACTGGTAACCATGGTCACAACCGCTTCCGATATGATACCGAGTACATCCGGTAGTCGGAAAAGGCCGTAAAGATGCGATTTCCGTGGAACTGTCAATAAATGCGTTAAGTATTGTCAAAACACTAAATGTAAAGCATATTTTAAACTTTAATGTATTATACGGTAAATATTCACTGACACAATCAGACTCGGACTTGGACCCAGATACCTGTGTTGTGTACCCGTTAGGACATGATGAACACGTGCTTGCACTTTCGACGTCCTTATACAGCCCGGCAGGGCACTGATCACATAGGTTGCTTGTTTGGTTAAGAAAGTAGCCAACCGGACATGGCTCTGAAAAATATTTTGCTTATATTCGAAAAGTCGATTAAAAAAACGTATAAAATTCGACAATATAGAAATGGAAGCTAATGCTAAAATCTTCAGCCGTGTACAGAACATAGGAACACAATCGAAGAGAATTGATGATGCTGCTTTAAATTAACATACAGTAGCTTTCTTATTTTTTACCTTTTGTTGATTTTTTTCTTACCAGGTAATTAAGACTTTCTATACGTTGATTTTTAACATCCAAGTTAAATATCCCTAACATTAGGCTCTCTCGGTAGTCAGTCATATATTTTGTAATATATTAATATACATTTGTATTATATTCTTATTTTGATAGCTGCTTTCACAAAATCATACTAGTTTATGCTTTAAAGCAAGACGCTAATAAAAAAATAACAATTAAAAAAAGCCCCAAAATAGCGACGTAGGACTCTTTTCTTATTTCGTTGAGCAACTTCCGAAGCGTTCATTACAATAACACGGCTTAAAAATGCTACCGGGAACATGTTAAAGTAGCCTTCAACTTTTTTTTATTTGTTTGTTTGGAAAAAAAACTTAAAGTGTTGTTTCAAACTAAGTATTTCAATAATTTTATCTTGGAAAAGCACATCATATCACTTTAAAGCCTTCTTCAAATCAGCGCCCGGAGAGCTATTTATAACTGCCAGTAACTTTCGTTTCTAAAAATAGAAGATCTAGACTACTTATTTACATATAGAGAGCGCTTACTTATTTACATATAGAGAGCGCTTACTTATTTACATATAGAGAGTGCTTTCTTATTTATATATAGAGAGCGGGTCGGCAGATTAGAGGTATCTAGGGGTTTCCTTATTGTTTATGTATTCTATCGAGGGCAAATCTTTTGAGTTGACAACTATATGAAATAATTTTCTAAAAATAACACATTTAACCTTTAGAAACGATGAAGGCCGCTTTAATTTAAAGCGAATTAAACTGTCAGAAAATCTCAAATTTAGTATTTCTTATTGGCAAAATCTAAACAATGTATCTTACTGCATGTTGATTGGTCCAGCATGTAACCTTCATCGCATATTATGTCGCCGTAACTTGGCGTCGCAAATGAATCGGATTTCAGCACGAAATTTGCGATGTCAAAAGTACCGTTGTTGATCAGTTCTTGAACTGCCGGTTTCAGTATATTGAGCTGTATATCGTCGTAATAAGTTAATGCATCTAAAAATGTTGTGTTGGTTAAGTTCAAAGGATTAACGATATAAAATTCCAAAATTAGCAAATGGGTCTCTGTGCTTCGTTTTTCGATTTCATGTTCTCTAGTTGGCACTGAAAATATATATTTCAAAAAATTAGTACAATTTATATGAGCTTATCAAAGAAAATTGTATAGTGTAAAAGTGTTTATTCTATCTTTACTGGGATGATAGTCATGAAAAAACTCAATCTGATTAGAGTGCAGATCATCTGATGTCTACATGTAAACATGAGAATATCAGAACTTAGAAATAAGTCACATTGGAAGTGAAAAAAAACAAACAATAGCATGTGATCGATGTTCTCAGATATTGTTTAGTCGAGGCTAACAATTTTAATTCACGTCATCAATTAATGACAACTCTGCGGCCATTTTTAACCTTTAAAATACTTACGTTCTTTGACAATTGTACCTGTTTCCAAATCACTTATCAAAGAGGTAAGGGACAGGGGGTGAGAAATGGAATGGTTCTCTTGTACCAAATATAACTACCAAATTATGTTGATCATTTCTTATAAATCAAAATATAATAAATACAATATGTCTATAAAAATGTCTAGACATGGTGGAACGTATTTTCTTCCTTTTTTCAAATACTATAACATAATAATTACAGTGCATTTGACACTGTCTTACCTTCGTATTCTTGAGAACGAAGATGACGACTGTTTATTGTCCAGGACAGAGATCTCTTCTTGCGAGTCTGAATAGGTCCACATGTTACGACAATATCTTCAGCAAGACAGGTTTCTCCAGATGGGCAAACTATTGTGAATAATGGGCTAAGTTTTGTATCAACTATATTTTGGAAATTCTCCTTAATTTCTGCCATAGTCGCCTCATCGCCACAATTCCCGCCATAGTAAAATATCTCAGCCGGTAGCTTTACATATCGAGGGTTCTTTGGTTCTATAAAGGGTGAAAATTTATCAGTTTATGATATAAATAATATGTCCTTAGATATTTTTAAGCTTGTTTTAAACTTCGTTAATGGTCAGATTAAGATAAAACAAGACTACAGTAGAATAATTTTAGACAAAATATTTATTCATATCCGTATACATACTTCTTTTCTTATCTGATAAAGCAACAGTAGACTTTCAATTGCATCAATGTTGGCGTTAAGTTTTAGTGAGTTAACAACCAACATAACTGGTAGAACAATAGATAATATACAATGTACAGAGATTTTGCCGGGACTGGACGGTGAGTTAGAGCGAATGGAGGTTTTCGACCGATCCGATTCCGAGCGAACGAAGTTTAACTGTAAAATAAATGTTGCTATTATAATGTTTTCAAGATTTATGATTGCAGTTATTCAAATACGCATTTTAAAACACGTGTTAAACTTGTGTTATTATTTATATTTACCATAAAATATATTTGCAATGAACGCTCTAGTTGGTTTGAAAATATAACACAACCCGAGGAACAAATAACTGATTTCTATATAATTATACCTCTATTAAAATACACTATAAATATAAATATTATATGATATTTCTAATCTTGTGGCAATACGCAAAGCCTAACAAGGAGAGAAATTGATTAATTCCTTTTATTATGAAAAAGTTGGGTTTTTTAAATCTAATTTGCACTAAGTAAACCGTTTTCATTCTTTTTGGAAAAAAGGGGTTTTATCTATATTAAAGTATCTGTGTTTTTTTTTTTTTAATTCATATATCAAATATAAAGTTTTAATCTCATTCATATCAACCTTTATTTGAACCAATCAGGTTAGAACCCTGACTTTCTTTATATACTTTACCTATACAGTCTGGCACTGTATCAAATGGAGTCCAATTTCCATCGTCTTTACATAAAAACTGTCCATTAAAGTTTGTGCCCATATCAGGTATATCGAATAGGTTATTACACGACATAATACGTAACGGTCTTGTCAATACTGTGTCATGGGATAGAGCTCCATTAATTGGTGCTTCTAATTCCGGACAAGCGATTTCTGCAAACAGAAAACGTTTTATTGTTATATTTTTGTAAGAATATTCTACGATATATACTAGACACAATATAAATTTTAACTGCCTTGTAAGCAAAATGTCAATGTGGGTTTTCAGGTAGCTTTTAACGTTTCATAGCCACATTTGCAAAATTTGATCAGACGGCATAGATATACCAATTGATCGTGGTCTTCACTGGTCCTTATGGTAGACTTATGCCACCACTAGAAGCCTCTGTGAGCCATGGAACATTAAACGTCTATTATGAAATGCGTTAAAACATGACCATTTTGAATGAGGTTTTGCAACTCGTTGTCTGTCAAACCTACCTCTACAATAAGGCTTGTCACCAGATCCCCAGCTCCAAACACCTTCTGATTGGTCATTTGCCTCGCACGTGATCAGATCAGTGCCCTCTAGCGGCAGGTACGCGCTACATGACAGCCGACATGATGCACCGTAAACATATCCAGAGCTTGGTGTTGAACACGTAAATCTCATGTACTCATCAGTAAAATTATCTAACGGGTGACCACAAATTATTTCTACAACAGACAGAACATTTAATAAGGTGTCAGAAAAATGAACAGTTACTTCACTTTGATGCTAACATATTTTTATGAATGATATAAACCGTCACATTACCAACCCCACAATGCATTTAATTGTTCTAATTTGTAGCTACAAAAGATATATTCGAAAAATATAAGTCAAAAATTCGATTTGGATTTTGTTGTTCATTGTTAACGTATGTTGTGTATTGTACATGTTTTTAGTATAATAATAGAAAAAAAGTGTATGCATAATTCATGGCATCTTTAAATATTGATCCAAAGTATCATTAAAAATGGGCAGCTTAAAAATGCATCTCCTACCTTCAACCTGAAGCTGAATAAAACATTCTTGAGATTCGCTTCCATCTTCATCAACTGCCTTATATTTTACTATTTCTGTTCCCACTTCAAGAACTGCTCCCATTGTTGGACCAAACGTTTGTACAATGGAAGGATTGTCGTCTGTGGCGTCAGACGCTGTAGGAAGTTGCCAGGTAACTGATTTTGTCGTCACACCTCGGTCCGCGTAAAAAATCTGAGGAGTTACGCAAGAAATAGTCGGCGGCGAATCATCTATATTAAATCGTAAACAAAATATTTATGAATTAAGAAAAATGTAAAAATGAATCCAATGACTAATTTCAATCAAAGTACTAGCACGTTCTGCATTACAGAAAATTATGTACAATGTATATTAAGTAAATTACACTCATATACACATAAAAAGCAAATTTCAGTGAGATTTTATCCTACTTTACATACTACACCTTACCAACGCACGATGCAGCTCCAGCGTTTGACCATGTACGGTCTGCCTGGCATTGCATAAAGTAAGCTCCTTTCAGGGTGTACCCTACGTCACATTTCATTGAACATACCGACAAGTAGCCGTAGTCTGGATCCGAACACTGTGCCGTTGTATGCTCGGGGTAATTCGGCTCACTACAGGTGATTTCTATAACAAATAGAACATAACATTGAAGGCCTATTATTCGCCAATATTTTTTTTCATTTTTTTATTTTTCAAACGCTTCTAAACTTTGAAGTCATGTTCTATTTTTTTAAAAAGAAACATTGGCCAATCGTTAGCTTCCGTTGCTTTTTGGCAATGAGTACAGTTATAAAGAATTAGTATTTTGTATGGAAGTCGGAATACTATTTTGTTTTCAGTTTGCTACATTTACGACAAATAATTTCACATTTGCTCAACTTTCTTTAGGTGATGAGCATCTAACATGATCTAAGAACATTTTTGAATGAGAAGGAAAAAATGAATTCGTTTCTGTTGCATATTGTACCTTTAAATATTTCACACAGTGTGTGCGTTTGATTCTACGTGATAATTCATCTGATAAGAATATGTGTTTCAACTAAATTTCCATAGAGCTACGTCCGGTCCGAAATAGAGGTATGTCATGTTGATTATATCATTATGCTTATTCATTCAGGAGTAGTACAAATATATGTCACTGTTATATTTGTTTTATATTCATTTTGGTGCCATAGGCTGAAAAGACGTGTGATATTATGGTATGCTGGGTATGTTGGTATTATCACAATTGCGGTGTTAAAACAATAACACTTGCATATATATTCACACTCCGACTTGACTCAGAGAATGGATTATTTTTTTACTTTTCACTTTGTGGTTTTTTCTATGAAAAGCAACAGTTTTTTTTCAAATATTAAACAAAAATTAAATTAAAATTGTCTTACTTACTTTCACAAGTTGGAATGGCTGACCATGATGGCGATGCTGCATTTTGACACGTTACTGTACTACTTCCAGTCAGCTGGTACCCAGTATTACATGTATAATGACATGAACTTCCGAGAATATTCTTCTTGTCGCACGTCCGTGCGCCATTTGGTGGCCACGACAGGGAGTTACAAGTCGATTCTTGCAGAAAAAGAAATATGCATAGTTAATGACTTATTTATTATACATTTTACTCTTCAGCTGTGTTCTATTCGTTCTGCCATAATTATAACATTTATCATTCATTAATGTACAGTGTACATAATATACAATAAATTATAACGACGACAGTATGTAGTATTGGACATAACATATAGCAGATAATCTTCTACTAGAACAAAATATTATCATTTATCATATAAATGCTCATACTAAATCACTTAGAACTTTGTCAACATTTTCTTTTTTCAAATTACATTTTATATGATTACGAATGATATATTTCTATTGTTTTTATCGATTTTTGAAATACTTCTTGAAAACAAAATGTGCCCATGGTAGACCAATCCACTTTAAATTTCCATAATTCGTATCGCAATAAAACATTAGACAGAAAAATCACACATTCAATGTCAGACAAAATAATGATCTGAAATAATACAGCTACAATCCATAGCATAAGCGATATCAAAATAGGGGAATAAAATTTAGATTAAAGGAAGTAATCTAAATACATAAATTTAGGAATAAAATGTATTATTCTGAAACGTCCTAAAATAAGGGTTCGGATTATAAAAAGTGAACTCAGAGCATCTATTAAGTAACCATAACAGATTTGAAATTATTACAATTTTTTATATGTAAATGCTTGAAGGTGCATAAATACAAGAATGTCATTTTGCCATGAGTATTCGCGACTGTCGACTTAGCATACCAAAAAGAAAATAATCCAATAAAGAATAGAAAAAAGAACAACAATGGTCTTCCATAGAACACATTACCTACCAGTGATAGTGAAGGAAAAATAACAATGTCCAGTAAGGCCATCGGAGTCGGTAGCTTTATAAGTAATATAGTGCGTCTTTCCATAGGTAGCTCCATCGAATCGACCTCCATTTGTACCACCACCAACTTGTGTAACACTGTAATTGATATTTTACAAACAAAAGTTATTGCGGATGTTCAACTTCATTATGAATACGTTGTAATAAAGTTTGGAGACATTTCTATTGAAAATTTGTTAAATGAGTTACATCGTATACGAATAATTGCACAGTGCGATAACTGTAGTGCAGGTATAAATTACCCGCACCGCACTGTTTGTCGAGGATAAACATAAAGTATGCTCGTTGATTGGCTACATTTTTTCTTAAGTTTATTTATTTTGATGAAAATGACAGAAAAGTCATAGTCAGATGCTTGTTTATTGCTTACATTTTTCTTGGAGTACATAGTGTGACGACAGGGGAATCGTTTTTATTTTTGCCTATGATACAAAACAGAAAGAACGTCAAAACACGCAGCAATCTGATTAATACTATCGTTCTACTATATCTTATTTCTTTGTATTAATTGGTCAATTACAATTATTTATGGTCCAGCATTTAGCTTCAACATTTACAGGGGAAATAGACATTGAGATCCTAACCAAAGGATAATACCTTGGTGTGCCTCCATTTCTATCCGAGGCTCTTGGCACGGTCCAGCTGACAACAACGCTGTCCTCTCCTTCACCAATGTTGTAATTACTTTGGATATCGTTTGGTGTACATGGTTGTGAGAATGTAGGCGGATACTTGGTAATTGTCCTCACACCTCCCCCTCGCCTCCTTCTACCTATTTTGTGACAAAGAATAGGGCAAGAGTTGAAGAGAAAATGGAAGTGCCCACATGACGGCACCAGCCAATTACAATGTTTTGTACTCCATGAATAACTTAAGGAAATTATGATTAAAATTTAAATTATCTCAACAAGTTTCAACATTGTCAATGTATTCATTCAAAAAAATCTATAAAAAGAAAATATAAAGTAGAATGATTTGTAACTGTTATTCTATAGATATCAATAACCCACTTAAATATTTAACTTTTTCTATATAATGACCCTGTATTGAACGCGATAGCTTGGTAACAATCACCAAAGTCTGGGTAATTTGTATAGTAACACAAACTTTTATTTCATACATTATGAGACAGAAACATTTTCACGTTGTTTGAGCAAAGAATTGCCGGCAATGCCAATTATTGTGTTTTGAAAAAGGGAATAATTTTTGCATTTTTTATATCCTCATTAGCGAATTATCAAAAAAAGACCCCGTTCTGACAATTTTTATTTGTTTGGGTCGTCAGACCAAACAAATAATGGTAGCGAAATTTCAGAGCCTAATGCTGTTAATTGCAAATGCCTAAAGTAGTCCACTTTTTTAAGCAGTTACTTCCCTTTATATGTACACTAACGCCGAAAATTTCAGGGGAGATCAATGCGTAAAGATTGTCAAACGACCGGCGCATTAATTTTCAAGCAAAGTAGTTCCCGAATGGTCGAAGATTTCTAATATTGTTTCATTCTTTATAGATATACATGCTTACAGTAAGCACCATGATTATTTACATCTGTGTTTAGCGTCGAAATAATAAGAGTTACAAACCCTAATTTAGAATAATATGGTTTTCTTCAGGTTATTAACTTATAATTTCACCGTGGCCGAAGGGTTTGCATGCTCGCTTACGAATCGAAAGGTCTCGAGTTCAAATCCCCGTTGAGGCAACTCATTCTTTTTTTAATTTTAAGTCAAATAAACATCGAATTGACAGTGTTGCAATTAGTCTTATAGCCAATTTACTACAGTTAAAACACTGGAAAGCATTGGTGGCACTATACAAAAACAAATTGGTTTATAATTTCACAACCTTCACCTTTCTGACATTCTGAGACCCAAACAAAGTCAGCGCCTTCTGTGCTTTGATTTATTTAGAGCTTACAAACCTGTAAGCAATTAACCGGACATTTTTAATATGAATAGTTTCACTGCATTAAAAATTTATTAAAAGTACATAAAAATGGAATACAAATTTGGTAAATTATCAAGGTCATAATTAAATGGAATAAATATATATAAAAGAATTACTTTCTTACGAATTTTTACTTACAAAAAAACACGCAAATCACCACCGGGAAAAAAACCCAAAAGAACCGCTTTCTTCTGCTAATTGTTGCTGTGGAAAATATATTAAAAAATAGATTAATACTTTTATTTAAGATTCAAACAAATTTAAATCTGAAAATCAAAGATATTTGTAGAAAAGATTATTGTAATTAAAATGTCAATAGCCATTCCATTTTGTAAATATATGTTGTAATTTGGGTTCCCTTTAATAAATAAAACAGAAAAATCAGTGTGTTTAGCAAAGGGTTGGCATTATACATGATACTGTGCAGAAAAAGATATTGCTGTTACTACATTCTCGGTACCTTTTCTATCATTCACAAAAACATTTGATGTCTTAACTCTCCTTGTGTAACTTACACAATTAAAAATGTGATAAAAAAATATTTTTTTAAATTTTTTAAAGATGCTTTATCCTTATATTGAATAAGATTGTGTAAGATTTTAAATTCATTTCATACCGACAGAGCTATCGGTTCCTGACCAGTGACCGTGTTCGCAAGTATACACTTTTCCATCTTCCGCTGTGCACACTCCCTGATGTTTAACCGTGTTATCAATTATATCTTCTTCCGGACAATATTCTATGTTTACCAAATTTTCAATTTCGTCGATGGAACATTTTTCTGCATTTAATTTGGAATCAACGCCCTGCAGAATAATAAAAAAATCGTTGTATTCGTTTAAATCTTTTTTCACACCTTCCTTTTTATCTAAGAATCTTAGTAACGTACAGACACCAAACATCTTTTTACATCTTATTTATATGAACTTCTTTGTTTAAATTGGATATATTAAAGTTATCAAAGTAGTTATCAAAGTTCTTAGTTCTTATTTTCTTGCAAGAGATTTTTTTTTTGCAAAAATTCATAACTTAGACGTTGTTATGTAAAGATAAAATGTCATATACAAATCACAATCTTTTTTTTCAGAATAATTATACTAATCGTAAATAAAAAACCAAAATTGAAAAAAAAAATAATTATTGCAACTCTTTTCACTCAGATCGGGGTAAAGAAGCACAAAAATACAATTTTAACTTTATTACTCGGAATTTCCAGCATATATTTCTAATTTCTTATTATCTTTTTGCATATCGTTCTGTTTTTTATGTCCCAGATGATCTATGTAAGAAATTTAATTTATATATTTTAGGCTTTTGGGACTCGTTGGAGTTCTTTTAAGTCCACAAAATGTGATTTAGTATTGTAAATGGAAGTCAAAATGTCAGAGTAGTTTTACATGCATACTTTTATGACAAATTATTTCACATTTAATTTTTTTCGGGTGACATTGTTTCCAGTTTGCTCTAAAACCATAATTATACGAGTATAAAACACATGTTTTTCCTCGCTAAAAATACTCATTTCAAAGGATTTGTGTCTTTAAAAGAAAAAAGCGCATGTTTAAATATTGTAAGTTTAAATGCATCTTAACCAATAAATTATTATTTTTGCTTGTGATATTAAGACACCAATTAATAAATTGGTAATTAAAAGTAAAAAGAAAAGACTTACGGTGTTTTGTGTTGAAAGGCCAATACCAAATCCCAGGAGAATGAAAATTAAGAAGATATTCTCCATATTTTTTCAACGCGACATTACTTCACAAAGTACTATATTGCTTTAACAGTCGCGCAGTAAGGTTTATTTTACTTCCAGGTTCAGTCAGTAAGTATTATAAATAATGTAAACCAAATACTATGTAAGACGAGAACGTTGAAAATATTTGATTAAGAGACTGTCTAATTACGCAAATAATTGTTAAAGCAAGACAAACGAAACCTCATCCCAGCGATTTTTTCATGATTTATTTATAGCGCTTACGACTTTTCTATTTCTTTTATTTCATTTTTTATTTTCATTTATTTTAGTTATTTATCTATTTTTTATTTCTGATACCAGGAATCATAATTTATTTGGAATAATATTTTTGTGATATAAAAAATCAATTTTTTACTTCTTTTTTTAAAAACTCATTTATCTTAATCTATTTATTTTTGGGGATTTTTTTTCTTCTGACACAGCATATTTAAATTTGTGTCATTAATATTCATAGCAGGAGATTTTAAACGTCGCCAAATTATTTGACATTTTGTTCTTTTAGACGTGTAAGAATTGCATATGTATAATAGAGTTAAAATGGTCCTCTTCCTAGTCTGTTATTTGAAAAATAATCTACTGATTTTTTATAAAGGACGAGTAAATCATAAGTCATATCATTATTTAAATCAGCAAACCAATCTTTTCAGTCGATTTGGGGTATATAAAAAGAAATGTATACAGATTATCAACAGTAACCAATCAAAATTGATCATGCACTTTTATGTAAATACATTATGGAAAAAGGAAGTAGGACATGTTAATGGATTTTTGTCAAATTGAAATGATTCTGCCTTTTTTTTCATCCATTCCGTTCCAATTATTTATAAACATTTGACATAATGACCGCGTTCCGTGCTGATGTCACGTGTCGTCATCGTGCGCAGCTAGCACAACATAAAAGAATGTTAAACCTGTTTAAATTTGTTCAATCCTAATATGCAGCGGACAAAATCATACATTCAAGTTGAAATGTGATTTCCTATTATTTCCGTTTGCGGCTTTTATTCATTGTTTACACTACATGTCACTATAAAATGACGAAGACTAAAGCTTTGGATTTTAGCATGAAACATCTTAAATACCTCTAGCGACTTTTCGTAGCACAGCCATACAATACCAAAGCAAACAGTGACTTTTCATAGCAACCACTGACTTCAATAGCAACCAGTGACTATCCATATAATCCAATGACTTCCAAAGCAACCAGTGACTGACCAAGGCAACCAGTGACATAAATAGCAACTAGTGACTTTCTGTACTATCCATTCACTTCCAAATCAATCAGTGACTTTAATAGCAACCATTGACTTTTCATAGCAAACAGGACATTTCCATAGCAACCAATGACTTCTATAATAGCAAAAATTAGCTTTCCATAGCAACGAATGAATCTACCATTGAAGCTCATATCAGGCACTGAGTTCCAAGGAAATCATTGAGTTTTTATAGCAACCAGTGACTTCTTTACTAACTATTGTTTTCCCTTAGCAATATCAACCAGTTTCGCTATAGTTTACATTATAACTTGTTCCCTTTCATTTAGAGTATTCATATTTATGTGAGCAATATTAGGGCCACCATGTCACTCTTGTTTATTTCTTAAATTTGTATCGATTATAGAGCCTCCTCCTCACTCGTTTATTTTTTTCCTTCTTTGTCTTTGTAAAAACATAACGCCACTGCAGTAAACGACTTTTAATTAGAAAGAGCAGTGTTATATAGAGGATATTGAATGAGTGTTAGTTCAATACTGAATTTATTGCACGAGTTGAATAAAATTATATTATGCGAGCCTCTGAACAACAACTTCTTTGAATACGAATACGACTAATGCGATGTGGAGTAATACGAATACGACTACGGCCACAAAGATAACAACGTGTTTAACCACAAATGTTAATTTTACTTACACATTTAAGACCTCTACATTAACTGCTACTTCTACAACAGAGAATAAAGCTGAGGCTACAGAGATAATAACGACTACGTCTTCAAAGACTATGCCGGTAACAACGGTCACGACTTCACAACTACGATTAAGACGTCTTTAATGACTACAAGTCGTTATCTAAGATTATTAGGAGCTCGGCCACGCATACAACTTTAAAGACTTTCTCCACAACTACGGTACCATGACTACACATTTTAAGACTGTGCCGACAAGATAGCTCATGACTTCGACCATGACTACAACTATTATGGCAGGTCGTTATTTCGTTATTTTCGACGACGCCGACGGCGACCATAAGTATTTTAGACGTCTAAGATTACTAATACACATTACAGGTCGACTACTTGTCTTCAAAGACATTAAGTATGTAATATTTACATAAAAGGAAAAAGTATTACATACACATTTAACGATTAACGCAAATAAAAGCATATGTCGTGCTTTGAGGGTACCTATGTGTTCAATAATGAGAGGGTACCTGTGATATAAAAATCTAAATGAAGAGAGGTAGCCCGTGCCGCTGCAAAACCGAAAGTAGGGTGTTTTTATGAATTTTACATTTATTTTTGACATTATACTGCCATTTGTCCGAAGATGATATGTATATGAACATATTAAATATGTATGATGCATATATAATCAAGCCACTGGTTCATTTCAGCCCGAAAAAATATGTCGAGGTGATGGGCGAAGCAAGACTAGTCGATTTTTTGTAGCTTATTGTGAAGTTGCAGTACATGAAAATCTGGCACATGACAAATCAGCACATAAATAAAACATCCTAGTGTTCCGTGGTATACATCTTTTCTACGTGACATACCTCCTTTCCTTATTACAATGAAATTTTACTGGATTGGTATCTATCGCTGGTTTTTTTTAGCAGAGAATGACCTGTGCATGTTCAGAGAGGGTACCGTTTGAGCAGATTTCGCAAAGAGGGTACCGATATGGATATGCACCGTGTCTTTATTCATTATTTTTTTTTTTATTTTCTAACAATGCCCATAGGTGTTATGTATTACTACCGAGACATGACAATACCCTATATACGCACAAAACAAATGACTATGGATAAATGCATTTAGAGCCTATTTTTTACGTCAATTAAGTACATGCATTTACTTTTATAATTTTCTATCATCATCGTCAACATCAAATCTGCTGTTTTTATTTTCTTTTCTCAATATTCTTTATCTTTTCTTTTTTTCATTTCCTTAATGTTTCCTAATTATTCATCGCCTGTCTGACTAGCTAGCTGGACTGCTGACTGAGAAGCTGACGAACGGACGGACAGACGGGGAACCCCGAACCCTTTTAAAAACTATGTTGTCACTTTGAATTTAGTTAAAGCTAATATTTGATTAGAATTTTCTGATGAGCGGATGTTTTATAATATTCGTTATCCCAAGCCCCTTATTTGTTTTCTAACGTAAACAAATAGTTTATGCATCAACTTAAGTCGATGAATCCGAATAATTTATTATTGCTGGAGTTTTGTATTCGCTTTCAATTTATGCTAAATAAGCGAAAAATGCACGAAATTGTTCACTAAACAAACATGATCGTTTTACGGTATAAGAGGACAAAATATCTCATTCAAAAATAGTTTGTATGTTAGTTGTAAGTTTACATAGTATCTGTTTAAACAAATGTATTATAGAACATTGAAATTATCATAAAGATAGGGCAGGACAATAAACCCTTACAATAACCTTAATTTTGGACTGGATAATTAAACCTGAATCAGCAAATTTTGCAACCGTTTGCCAAAAGAAGTTTTTTAATCGTTATTATTTTATTATAATAAGGAAGTAGGCTGCAAAACCAATTTGTTATTTCGTATAAGGAAGTGAAATATGATATATTCTGAAAGAAACTATTGAATGGTTTATTGAAAAATGATCAATACACCTATACAAGAGTTTATAAAGAAAAATGTCTTTATATGGGTCCGGTTTAATTTACCAAAAAAAAATATCCTTCAGATTTCAGAGAACCTCACAAAAGACTGATTGATAATCGGGCCATGGTTTGATGACTTTTTATATGTAGGGTGTGTTCACATTTCTTGGGTATAGAATATTATCAGAATAGATATATGTAATACAAAAAGAAATTTGTCTTTCAAAAACATCTTATGAAAGAGGTTTATTTATTTAATAATATACAAACAGTTCATTGTTTAAAAAATGTCGGTGATTTATGTCACTGAAGGGAGGCTGATCAGTAGGGCACACGTTAGTTTGCAATACTGTTTTGAATAATAATTTAGTTGATTGAACCTCTTTTTAAAAGGCATTATTAAAAGTCTGCAGTTAAATGATTCTAAAACTTTTTCTAATTTTTTATTACTTATTTTAAGCAAAGCAGTAAGGAAACAGGCGTTTTTTTCCTAAGGGTTCTAATAAGGTTATTCAAGTCATAAGTTTTAGGCCTTCTGACGTGATATAGAAATTTCATTTTTAAACTATTCACGTGAAATAAAATAGTTAATTGACGTTTATATATTTTGAAGCCGACCATTAATGCCCGTTAAAACAGAACAGAACAGAACTTATATTTTTGATTTGTACATAGTATATCATCATATACAAAATATTTTTGAGTAACCTTTGCATTTCAGTGCATTCAATATAAAAAAATCAAAACATTAAACATTATTTAATATAACAGTTATAATAGTCATAGCATTTTTTCTTTTTTTCTTTTTTCATTTTCTTTTTGTAATATACTGCTAATTTACAAAGCTACCTTCTATTATTACTTTGCAGCAACGCAATAAATTTGTACATATTTAAGCGACAATACAATTTAACCAGGGGGGTTGAAAGGGGATACAAAATTGTTCGCGTTTTTCAAAATTTTTAAAGGTTTGGGACCCCTACAATTTTAAATTTTTTTGTTGAATAGT